AAAAATCTAAAACGCTTCTTGAATAATTTTATGGCTATAGGAGCTTCAAGGGATGGCAGAAGAACGTCATCACCGAATACTTAGCGTCGCAACACATTGAGGTTGGCAAGCCAAGCGACTTCTATTGATTGTTATGAACCCCGAGGTTCTATGGCTTCAATTGCGGGTTTCACTTTTATAGGGTATATTGCATTTTAGTAGGAGAAAGTTCTGCGTACACACTCTTCCTAGAGTCTTTTTTTGTGGGGTTTTACTAGATTTGTCGTCGTCGTAGGGTATATTGCATTTTCACTTGGGCATTCTCATGCCAATTCTTACACTTTTGCCAATTTTATGGGTTCCATTTGATTAGTGAAATTAAGTTTGTTTATTTATCTGTACTTTAATTCCTATGTAAAGTAATTTATAGTCTTCCAAGTTCTATTTATGTTATAGTTTAATAAATTCTATGGAGATTTAAATACATGGTTAGTTTTGTGTTACATTACTCCCTGCCCTAAAAAAAATTGGCCTAGTTATTATTTCGAGCTTCCCATAATTTTTATTTGCGTATGTATTTTTAGTGATCATTTGAAATAATAAAATAGTCATGTCAGTATTTGTTTTATTTCATTTTTTATGTAGTTTTTAAATATTCAAGTTTTAATTTTTATTTCTATATAAATTTGTAAATAAAATTATTTTAAAAAAAGATAAGGGGACGGATGAAGTGATACTCCGTATATTTTTAAGAAAAAATCCTTTGATAAAATTTGTTTTCTTAGCTATTTGGATTTTAAAGGTAAAATTATATACTCTTATAGATTGATTAATTGTCTTTTTTTTGAAGACTCATAGAGTTACTGTTTGCTTTAAAGAACAAACACGTGACCTCAAATTGAGAGAGCCATAACGGTATTATTGGATTATAAACTTTTTGGCTTATATATTATCTTTAAAAACATGAATTTTTAATTATTAAATGTCAAAGTGTTACATCGGTAATCATAAAAAAAATAAAATAAAGATTTTGTTGGGATGGTGTGAGTAATTCTTAAATGTGATTACACAAGTTTTAAATATAATGTCTACCATGAGTAAAAAACAATATGCACTTTTTTTGTTACTATTTCACTTTCATTTTTTTCATCGATTGGAAGTATTATTAGTGTGGAAGCGTATATGATTGTGCAAGGCTTTTTTACATGGTCCTTCCATAATTTATGACCAGGTTGTTTTTTGATGTACACACTTTGTCTTGATCATGTGTCACATAGTGCTTAAATACTTCTGGCACTAAATTATTTGACATGGAGCATATGTGTTAATACTTGGACCGCCAAAAACTTAATGAAATTTATCAATGGCTAACACTTTAAATTTATATTAAAATAAGACTTTTTTTTTGTTTTTACCTTCTAAAAAAGAGTATTGGCACTAGGCATCGCCATAACTTGACATTGTATGTCAATATTTTTGTATTTTTTTGGCATTAGAGCACTGGAATTACACCTAACGCCCGGGCTCGTTATGCAGGCATTAAAAATTTTGCGTTAAAGGTTTGACGCAGCATTTGCTGCAGCCTTTTGCATCGGTTAATTCTAATAATCGATTCAAATGGTTATTTGAATCGATTATAAGGTTTAACTGATGTAAAAGGCTAACTAGCATTTGAATCGGTTAAACCTAATAACCGATTCAAATAACCATTTGAATCGATTATTAGGATTAACCGATTCAAATGCTAACCGGTACGCAAATTTTTTTTCCCATTTAAATCGTTTGTTTTGCTGACCGATGGAAATGAGGTGATTTTTTGGTCATTTTGTAGTAGTGAAACGTATTTACAATACTCTTACACGTTGGTATTATATGTCTATTTTTGGTATAAACATAAAATATTAGAAGTCCAATTTTAATGTATATTAAACATATTTTAGTCATAACTTAGTAGTTTAATTTTCTCAAGAATTCTTAATGGGAAAAATTATTTAATTAAATGTTTGAGGATCATGGGTGCACACGTCTAGCAACGTTAGTTTCATTGCATTTCATAATTCAAAACTAATTAATTAAATCAATGCAAACCAAAACAAATTAGCTAGGAAAATGATAAAGAGTGTGCAAACATAGAGACAGCTTAAGCAAATTAGACATCAAAGACAGCCAGTGCCCTTTATGGCCGACCCGCAGGCCACTCTCCATGTTGCTCCATCTCTCTTCTTAACGCTCGCAGCATTTCGTTCGTGTAATCTTCGTCTGATCTAATCTAATTTTCTAAAGATTTGATCTGATCTATTGAACGGAATACTGTCTAACTATCTTCCTTCTTTGACAACAAGGGCCGGTATCATAAATCATAATATGACAATAATTCGAATCGGAGTGCCTACGGTACTTAATCATAAAATTGATGATTCCTACACCTCTTTTCCCGCGGTAAACCTTCGCCAGCCCCGAACCCATCCCCCAATATCTTCAGTTTTATTCCCCAAATTCATTTGACTTTTTGGTCAAAAAATTGACCCAAAAGTCAAATAAATTTGGGGAATAAAAAATGAAGATATTGGGGGATGGGTTCGGGGCAGGCGAAGGTTTACCGCGGGAAAAGAGGGGTAGGAACCATCAATTTTACGATTGAAGCACCGTAGATATTTGGATTGGAGTTGTCATATTATGACAATATTTTGTGTTATCAAAAAATTTTGTGGTTCATTTTAATTCTCTTTTCCCTGCAAAATTTAAACCTTACAATTTAATTTTCTTAAGATTTCGTGTAAAGAATAACTGAGAAGATGCTAGAGAAATCTTACTTTGCAATATCTAATATTTTTTTATTTAATTTATGTTAGAATATAAGAAATATTTTCTGCGCCACAACCACAAGTTTGAGTTTTTGGTTGAGTGTGTTACTTGACATGGTATCGGAGCATTGTTAACTATGAAGTCATGGGCTCGAAATTCAGCGCCACCCAATTTTAATAAAGTAAGGTTTCACGTGCAAGACTTAAAAAAGATTTTGACTCCAAAGTCAACTAAATCATGCAATTGACGGGGGTGCGAGGGTATTTTTGGGCCAGGCCGTGGGTAGGGGGTTTACCGGGAGAGTTAGAGAGGTAAGAACCATCAATTTTTTGAATGAAGCATTGTAGGCGCCCTAATCGGACCCATGGCATGGGGGGTTCATGTTACCCGAACCGCACCCTTTAAAATTACTTTACACTTATGATGGTAAAAAATATTACGTAGTGCTTTTTTCGGATAACATGTAAGAATTAACCTAGGGGTACACCAACATGGGGTACCACATATGTACACCAAGCCAACACAGACACAAAATGTCTGTGCAGCACAGAGTTTTTGTGCCTGTGTGTGTCTGTGTTGATCTGGTGTACATATGTGGTACCCCATGTTGGTGACCCTAGCATTGCCCAACATGTAAATATATTGGGCATCCTCGAACCCCTATAAATGAGTATATAAGAACATCTTGATCCATCAAATACTTTTAGAGCGTTTGGTACTTTGGTATAGACAATTGACGGAATTAGAATTGGATTGGAAATTAAAATTTTATAGAATTGAATTCTCCAATTCTAGTTCATTTTTGGCACTACCAATTCTAAATCCATGTATTCTTATGCTATCAAACACCAGAATTGGAATTGTTATCTCCAACTCCAATTACACAATTTAAATTTTGTGTAATTTATTACTTTCTCCGTCCCACAAAAAAGTTCCCATTTTGAATAGTATTTAGTCAAACATTTCCACACTTTGACTACAAATTGTGAGAAATGTATATTGAATTATAAAATAAATTTAATATAATTGGATTCATTTTAGGATCTAGTTTTGAAATCTCAAATTTTTATAGCATTTCTTTATTTAGATTATTTTTAATTTATGGTCAAAGCGTGTAACTGTTTGGCCAATTTATAGTCAAAATGAGAACTTTTTTGTGGGACGGAAGTAGTTTTTTAATAAATAAAACATATTTAACGCTTAATGCGCATACTATAATAGGATTTGACATTAGTACAATATGATACCGTTTAAATTTGAAGTGACATAAATCAAATGGTTTTAGTATTAAAACCAAACTTTACCAAAGTCTTTAAATAGTAAATGTACCGTATGAGATGTATGAACACCCCGAAATGTCCTGCCCACAACAATAATGTTTTGCAATGTTTAACTAAAATTATTTTCAAATCATTTTATTTGAAATTCGTATGGAATTAAAAAATAAAAATTTCATATTAAAAAATTACATGAAAAGATCTACACAACTAGAGGTGACATGACTATATTATTTTGTTAATTGAGAAACAAAAACATGCAAACAAAATGAATTAAGTTTGATCTTGTAAATAGTGAACCAAAACATTATTCTTGGAGGGAGGAAGTATATAAATCCATGAGGTCATTAGGTTGGTAACGCCGGAGATAATGAACTTTCCAGAAAACCGGCGATTTAATACAACTACGAGCACATATATACTATGTACGGAGCATATTAATTTTCATTAAATATAAATATATTGTAGACAGCTCTAAATAATAAATGCCCTAAGCTTTCACCATCTTCGTTTACTGCACTTTGGCCTGATGGTGGGTACCCCTCCCAATTCTCTCTCCCGGGGACCTAGCTCAAATGATCAAAAGAGACGCAAAAATACGCTCTTGAAATGTTTATGCATGTTCAGCATAGAATTTTTGTACGTGATTATAAACTAGTCAAAATTGCTTATACATAGTTTTCTAACTTATAAATTAATTTATGACATGTTTCTTCATGTTTATAAGCCAGAAAAATTGAGTATGTCTTACCAATTCAACTTATTTCTAAGCTAGTTTTTCATATCTTCGTTCTGACCAGATTATTTACAAAACTATCCATTGCTAGTTATGAATATTCTCAAACGACTTATCTATCGTTTAAGTCAACTTCTTTCACGAAAGAGTTTTTTTGCTTACAAGCAACTTATAAATTAACAAATCTTTATCAGTAATAAACCAAGAAGCACCGGCACTCAGGAACTCCTCTACTCCTAAGACAAAGGGTTCATCCTTTTTTTTTCTCTCTCTATCTCTCTCTATATATAGAAATAAATGTGTCTTTGGGTGCAGATAACTGAATATTTATTGCTGGGTTATATACTACATGGTGAAAGAAGAGGCCATTAAGAGAGAGAGATAGAGAAAGTTGACCCCTTTTTCTTGGCTTAGCCTTATATACATACCCACACTGTTACCATCATCTCTCTCTCTCTCTCTCTCCTTCTTCTTGCAGAGGTTTCACATATGAAATATATCAATATATATGTTTTTATACATATAATAACATCTTTTCTTTTTTGTGTTCTTTCATTCTTTCCACTGCATAATCAAAGGCTAAGTTGCGCGGAGACAGGACACGGGTACGAGGCCGGGAACGGGTAAAGCGCTAAAAAATTCCCATATTTTACAAAGTGTTTGGGTGTCGAGACGGCCACAAGTACCCAGACTGGGACATTCTTAGGACAGAGAGTGGCACTTGTTTGAAGAATACGTGCAACAAAGATTAAAGGTACCCAATGTTGTTTGTTTGTCTGTGTGTTCTTTCTAGTGGTCTAGTTTTGTCCATGCCCTTGTAATTTGGGACGGTTGGATTTTGATTTTTTTTAAGTATTTGTGTTCATTTTCTATTTTTCTTTATTTTTATTGGTAAGGAATAATTGTGTTTCTTCAAGTATGAGATAAAAGCACATGACTTGATCTTTTTATTAAATTGTGTTTTTAAAACAAAAAAAAAAATAGAGATTTTGAGGTGTTTAATTGGATTTTTTCTTCATTTTAATTACTTGAATGGTTCTTTCATATAGCAATTTTTTTTGTAAAAAAAAAAAATACAGGGGCAATGCATGGAATTCCCGGATATGCCCCTGATTAAATTGGATGAAGTTGGATCTGAATGTTGACTGCATGTGTCTTGAGAAGTAGCACATATGTCTGGCACTATAATTTCTTCTTTTATAGTTTTTTCTTTTCATTTGGAATTTTTTTTTTTTTTGGTTTCTTGTTGCCTATGATTCTTCTAGTAATGACTGTCTGTGTGTGATTGTTAGGTTTCTGGTGATATAAACCTTAATGTACTACTTGGGACTAAAGTATTCTAATGACAGACACATATGATTTGCAAGTTCTAAATTTTCTACCCTTTTCTATGGTAAATCTGTCAAGCATGAAAGAAAACCAGCCTGAAATTCTATGTGTCAATGGGGCCAATGAGGAAGATCTGTCTATGGGCAAAAAGGGCGTGCTTGGCTCGAACGGGTTTGTCTCAGAGTCGAAAAACGACATAGTCGAATTCCAAAAGGCTCTTCCACAACTTCCACAAGATGATCCACTTTCAGACCATTCTTTCGCTAGCATCGAAACCAAATTACATGTTTCTCCTCCTATGGATGATGATGATGAAAAAGAACCATTTCATGCCGTTGCCCGAAAACCAGATGAAGAAGTTGCATTGTTATCATTAGCATCTGATGAGAAGGCCACTCCTTTGGGTGGCAAAGAGGAAAGCAAGTGCCATAATCCCATCACAGATCTTTGTGTCGACGAAGTTGCAGAAACAGGAAAAGAACATTTGGGTGATGATGGGCTTGTAGAACAGAAACCGCGCGAAGACAAAATCTTGGAGGGCCAAAGTGCAGTGCCAAGAGACGAATCGTGCAACGGGGAGGACAACAAAACCAAGCCGAACCGTTCAATTCTCAGCCTGCAAGACCATTTTGCAGAAGGGGAGGCTAGTTTTTCTGCACTTGGTTTAGCTGGTTCTTCTTCTCACCCATATTCTGGGAGCACTTCTCTCCGGTCCGATAGCAGCACCACCAGTGCCAGATCCTTTGCCTTCCCGGTGTAAGTTTGATATGTTTTTTGCACTGAATATGGCTGAAACATAAGTCATTTCCCAATGTAGGATTTGAACTTTTTTTATTCTCTAAATAGGACTTAATAATGACTAGTGAGAAGAATAATGTCCAAGTGATGCTGGACATTTGGTTGAATAATGACCAATGGTCCTACATTGGAAAATAAAAACATATGGTCCTATATTGAGAAAGTCATTATGTTTTAGTCATATTTAGGTAAATTACCCATGTTTTATACTCTAGCACTGATACATTTGTGTTTCTCGAATCCTCAAAAGTTAGTTTTTTTTCTGGTTGGGTTGCAGATTACAACCGGAGTGGATTAGCAGTCCGGAGAGAATGAAGAAATCATACAACAGGTTTTGGAAGCACGGGGGGCGGTGGCGTCGTCTTCTTTGCTGTAGATTCTGAAAATCCATTCCATTTTTTTAAATGTTTCATTTGTTCATATAGTCATTTTGAAGTTCATATCATACAGTATTACATTGGTAAGGGCATTATTGGTATATATATATATATATATGTGGAAATAATAGGTTGTTTGTTTCCATTAGGGTGTGTTTGGTTCATTTTAAAGCATGGGTTTGGAATTAGAAATGTGGTTGAACAGAGGCTTCTTCTTGTAGGTATGGGGATTCATATGAGGCTTGTAAAACCATGTCATGGATTGAGTTCATTTCATTCTGTTTGCAATGTTTATTGAAGAAAATGTTTGGGTTTCGGTTCCGCGACTAACATGTCATTTTGAAGGGAAGACAATCCAATCCGAGCCCGTCCTTAAATTATCCGAATTAAAAGTGGAAATATCTATCATTGAGCCCGGACTAAGGCCGTCTTCTTTTCACATGATCTGACTAATTCTGATCTTATTGGAATAAATTTTGATCTGATCTGAAGTAATCTGAAGGCCTAAGTTGGGTAAACTTGACCTGATTGCACGCAGTATTTGACTACATTTTTGCCACTTTTATGTCATTTTGATCACTTATTTCGCAAAATGAACAAACAAATAGGTGTTTATCTGTACTTATAAACTTGTCAAAACTGCTTATAAGTCCTTTTTTATTTATAAGTCACTTAATAACATGTTTCTCTATTAACTGACTTACAATTTTCTTATAAGCCAAAAAAATAAGTTTAACCTATTTGTTTTTAAACTAGTTTTTTCATTTCTCCGTTTTGACCAATTTATTTACAAAAATATCCCTCACCGTTTATAAATACTATCAAATGACTTAACTATCATTTAAGTCATTTTACTTCCACAAAATAATACTCCCTCCGTCCCGTGAAACCTTTCCCCTTTCTTTTTTTATCCGTCCCACAAAACACTTCTCATTTCTATTAAAAAGTCACTTTTACCCCTTACTTTTTCATACCCTAACTATCACATCATACTTTTTTACTAATAATCTATCCATCAAATCATACTTTTACCCATCACATCAAAGGACATTTTTAGAAATTCAATACCAAAATACACTCCCTTAAATCCCTCCTAAAAAGCAAATGTCCCATGTTTCACGGGACGGAGGGAGTATTTGACTTATAAGCAGCTTATAAATTAAAAATTACTTATAAAGAGTAAACTAGAAGGCCCAAAGTTTTTTTTAAGTTGAGGCCAAATGTGAATAGTATGACATATATTATCCAAAAGTGGAATGTTTTCCATGTTGAACGTTGGGAATTTTACTTCTTATTTGTTGAAAAAAAACAGAGTTCTGTTTGGGTAAGGTCTAACTTTTTATTTTTGGTAACTCAATCAAGATGCAAGGTTGGGTTATGAATGGCCATTTGCACCCATAAAACTAATTTTCCACAATACTTGAAAAGTTGGTAATCACCAAACAAAGAAATGGGAATGGGTTAGGCTTGTGGACACCATTGAATGGACCATCACCATATTTAATTGCCTTTTTCTCTCTAATCCAATTATGGTTATGGTTGGGTCTAATGTCAATTTGATCATTTGCATTTGAGTGTGAAATGCCACTTCTGATTCATGAATTATGAGTCTATGATAGAACAAAAACCCATGTATAATTCCAACTCTGTTACGTTTTGGGCAAATCCCAAAACGCACGGCGGTATTATGAATAATACACTTTTCTTGACTCGAAGAGTTGGTGATTCGGTTATACTTGAGAGAACTAAGGTTTGTACTTAATGAACACGAGCACAATCTGCCCGTTTGGCAACAATTCAACGTTTAGCTTTGGCGTTTTCAAGTTAAATATTGTTGCCAAACAAGGCATATGAGCTTCTCCCCCACATAAAAAAACAATAATGGGGAGCAAACACAAAATGAGTTAAAAGACATGACAACAATGGACATGAACAACAACAACCATATGCACAACCGGCTGCGGGGTGTACCTAAATCCTTAGCCTTTTATGAGCTTGATCAAAATCATCGCCCGTGTTCGTGTCCTGAAAAAATCCGACTACTTGGTTCGCAAAGGGTGCGGGTTTCTCACTACTATCCTGTCAAAAAAGGAGTTCTCAATACGATTTTAAAGAAGAAAGAAACAAATAAATACTACCTGCGTTTCCGAGTATTTGTTTAGTTTTGACTTTTCGCAGTCAAAATTGACAAACTTTGACCACTAATTTAATAAAATTGACATTAGATATTGATACAAAAACAGTATTCTTAGATTTGTTTTATATATTATTTTTGAAATATTATTTTATCTCATCAATATACTTTATAAATTTTAGTTAATTATAGGTCAAAGTTCGAAAATGGTTGACTGCAAAAAGTCAAAACTAGACACACATTCAGGGACGGAGGTAGTAAGTGGTTTCACCTTCTATGTGCATATTGAGCCCTTGTGCTGGGAGGCATCTCCTCTCCAAATGATCAATAAATAAAAAACAATTGAATAAACAAAAGAGTGAACGGTATACTGCATACCTTAGAAACCATTACTGATGAGTTTAATCCTCTATTTGCCCGTTTTCCAAGATTTATCTGCACCGAGATGGTGGCATGTGAAAGGTCTACACCAGTACTTTGCAATGCTTGTCCCAAAGAATTCAGCAATCTGATAAATGTTAAACAAAAATTATTAGAAAAGGGAATAACGGTAATAACTTTTGCATTCAAAAAATGTGAGAAGATCATTATATGGTTAATTTAATTATCAGATGACGACGCGTATATAATTATGAACAGAGAAAGCCAAAGGGGAATAATCCAACTTAGGGACTAAGGAATAAAATTAAAGCATAGCTGGTAAACTTGAAATAAGTTGTGCTAGGGTAATCCCAAAATTTTGACACCACCATTGACCCCATGTTTTCTTTGCACATACACGCACAGACAATGACTGCCGGTGCAGCACCAATGTGCGTGAATGGTGGTGTCAAATTTTGGGGTTATTCTAGCTTTTTTTACTCCGTAAACCAATTACTACGTACCCATTGGAGTAAACACTTGAAAAACTAATTGTGCCACCCTCTATAGCTGGCAGCTCCTCATCTTGACTATGAGCATCTAAATTGTTTGGGCATTCACTTGAATGGGCATCAGAGGGTGGCAGATTAATGGGAGCTGAAACTAACTTAGTAGCGATCACATTACGTTCTCTTGCATTGAAGGCAGGAGAAGATTCAACTCGATTCTGCTGAATAGTTGGTTGCATAGCTGTTGAAGGGACTGCGCCATGATTCTCGTCAAACCTCCCAGCATATGCCGGACTGTTCTTCACAGCCTGTGGGGGGGAACCAGCAAAATTCTGCAATTGCCAATGACTGTTTCTCTGAGCCCATAATGAACAGGTTTTAACAGAACGGTTCTCGATCACAAAATGAAATGATGTTTAATAAAAGAAATAGAAATTATATCCATTAAAAACAAAAGAGGTATTTTTAAAATTTTGGAAGAAAAAAAAACTAAAAACATGTTCTGATGCAGCTAAACAGTTAAGGAAAGTGTTTAATGGACGGTACAACGAAACTGAAAATTTTACAGTTCACACACATAATATCTTTATAGTGGGTTCATAGGGTTCTATGCACTGTGTCCATTCACAATAGAGCTAAAAGAATCATAGTTGGCACTGCTTTAGCTCTAGGTAATTAATGCACTAAAAAATGGCACATTAAACTTTCTTTGCATCTTTTTTTCAATGAAGTTTTAGGTAGTAAATGCAGCAAACCTCCCAGACTGAGTTGGGAATATACCGGGTGTTGTTGTTGTTAGTGGGTTCCAAGCATAGGCATATTTAAGCTATGTTTGACAAAACAAAGTTAAGTTTATTAGGAGTTAAAGTTATACTCCCTCCACCACAAGAGAGAGGGAGAGAGATTAAGGTTCATCACGATACAACATTTAAATTATGTCAAGGTACGATCCCACAAATTAGCAATCTTTAAGATACTTTATTGAAACAAGCAAGCAAAGAAAAAAAAATCACTACATAGAGTCAGTAACGAAATGAATTACGAAGAGCAGAATTAATAGCCATCACAACCTAACAAGGCTATGTTGTAAATAGACAGTTCAAAAAGCAAAGGTAGCTGACCCAAGGCATTAGTTTTGTTGGCTCAGAACCCCAAGCTTGATATGGTCCTTCATACTTTTGTACTTTCTCCTGTAAATACTGTACATACTGAATCACCTGCAGACAGAGGAGAAATGAAGAATAACAGCACAATCTGAATGCAAGGTTGAGAGTGAATGGAAAATAATGTATTGGGTATTGGTTATTCAAGGATAGTTGTGTACCTCCAACAGAAATGATGCAGTATCTCGCTTTTGATCCGTGTTAGGTACCAGATCTCTCAATATCTGAAATCTGGATTGGACCCCAAAAGATTTATTTAAAAACAACATTTCCAACAGCTTGAAGAAATTGGTGTTTAAATCTGCATACCCTCCTAGACCTTGTCATCCTGTGGGACTCTACTGGGTTTGTTGTTACTGTTCTGCTAAGCCTAACAAATCTATACATAACGTGGTATTGAAAGCAATGGCTAGTTGACAGAGAATAATATATCCTGGTCGTTGGCCATGTGCGCATCAACTATCCCGTGGCGAAGGCTATGTGGGCCAAGTCACAATCGAATGTCGTGGGCGTTTGTGTTTGTTGAATGCACTATAAGACTAGGGTATGCACTTCTTCTAACACCAATTGAATTTAGAAGAGTTGGTAGCACTTGATGCCTTACAATTGGTATTGGAGCCAAGGTCACGAGTTCGATTCCCAACGGGAGCAATTGCGGAGGGGGAGATTGTTGGCTATGTGTGTATCAATTATCCCGTGGCATAGGCTATGTGGGCCACGTCACAATCGAATGTCGTGGGCGCTTGTGTTTGTTGAATGCACTATAAGGGTAAGGGATGCGCTTCTTCTAACACCAAATGGTTTTAGAAGAGTTGGTAGCACCTGAGGCCCTACACTATTTCCTTTCCCATTTTCTTTTTCTGGATTATGCAAACATGCACATTTAAATGACAAAGGCTTTCTTAGTTGTAATACGGTTGCAGTGCCACACATAATTCCAGAATTTCATTTTCTTGATCATACTCATTAGAGCATAAGCTACTTACCAATATGTGGTAGCACTTAAAGACTGTCTAAGGGTCTGTTCTTTTCGCATTAATTTTAACTGGTAAATAGATTTTGGAGTGAGAAACTTGGGGTCTGGTCATTAGAGTCTGAATGCAGTAGTAATCTCACCCGAAATCTAGAATGCAGAGTCTCATAACTAGAGTCTGGAGACTGCAGTCTAAAGGCAGGTAAATGGTGTGCCTTGATTGGAATAACTGGCCCCGTGACATGCTGCCCTCTATTTTCAAGAAGCTAAGTTCATACATGGTTTACGTTATTCTCAAAGAGTTAGTGATAGCTTCCCCTACTCCCACAGAGCAAATTTAAAATAAAAAAATAAATTATTGAAAGCTTCCCTTATTTTTCAAGCTAAGTTCGTAGGTGGTTTCCCCTATTTTCAGTCCCTCTAGATGGCAGGCCAAAATCTAAAAATTAATGTAATGCAGTATGCGTTCTCTTGGAAATAGCCTCTCCACTACAAAGCAGTGATAAGGTCTACGTACACACCCACCCCGCGCACCCTCCCCTACCCTACTTTTTTGTGGGATTTTACTAGATTTGTTGTTGAAAATGTTTACTAGGTTTGTTGTTGTTAATGTACTGCAGTAGCATTCTTATAACCAATGGAATTCACCACAAAACATAACCAGAAAACATTCTAATTTCATATAAATAACTATGTTTCTCAATTACTCATTGGCATGAAGAACCAGATCAAAGTATTAGAGTATACCTCTCGTTGATCTTAATCCTCCTACGTTGCTCCGTTACAGAATGTTTAGACCGTATTGCATTGGCCTTATCACAATTCTTTCCATCTATTCCACATAAAAGAACATCATCACATCCCAAAACAATGAATTGAAATCACAAAAAAAAAGCAAATTTCATTTAAAAAAAATTTGAGACCCAGTGGTCAGATACATTGGTGGCCATTGCCTTCCAAGAAGTGCAGCAGCACAGAGCCTCCAAAATTTAAGGGCACCAAAGGAAAGGGCACATAGTTATAAACCATAGTTAATGTTTGACGGAATATTCAGTGATCGTTCGGATGTTCCATATTCACTTCAATATTGTCGGCTACATGTTTACAAAAAAATGTACTCATGTTTTTGTTCTTTAAATTGTAAATTTTTTTTTAAATTTATGACTATCTCATTGACTACAAAAGTAGTTTCTTATTTGTGAAATCTGCACTAAATAGGACTAAAACATAATGACTTTCCTAATGCAGGACTTAAACTTTTTTATTCCCTAAATAGGACTTAATAATGACCTTGTGGAAGGAATAATGTCCAGTAATGATGGACATTTAGTTGAATAATGACTACTTGATAATGACCAAAGGTACTACATTGGGAAATAAAAATATATGGTCCTATATTGGAAAAGTCATTATGTTTTAGTCCTATTTAGGTAAATTTCTCTTCTTATTTCAATATTAAAGAATTAGTGAAATAGAGTTTAACATTATCACAAACTAATGTAAATGTGCTACACAATCTTCCTGAAAACTTAGAGGTCACATGTAATACCATAAATTTAAGAGACCTAATTTTAATTTTTGCACAGGACTTTTGAAAATTCATCACCTGGTAAGATGAAAAAATAAATTTAGAGAATAAATACCTCTTGGAATACTAATACTATTTGAATTCGAAGCATCTTTCTTATAACCGAATTCCTCATCATCTTCCTCTTCATGTAGACCCTTCACAGTTTTCATATTAATTCCCCAATTTTTTTTAAAACAGCCTGCATAATTTCAAGAAATTGAGAAGAACCCAACAATTGTAAACTGAAAAAACACGAAATACAGCATAAAAATTGAGAGATCTATTGAAGCAATTGAGGTCCCGTTAAAATGGAGAAAAGCAAAAAGATCAAAAGATTTTCGGAAGAGATTAAGCATTTCAGAAAGGAAAAAAAAGATTTTTTTTTTTGGGGAGAATTGTAATTACCGAATTGAGATCACCAGTAAGGATGGCTGCTTGAGCTTCGCTCTGTATTTTCTGTTTGGTACTGGAAAACAGAAATGGTATGTTACTGTTTTTGTGTGAGGCCAATCAGTTTCCTCATACTCCCTATGGGATCCATTAGACTTTTTTATTTGTCATTTTCTCATTACCTTTTTTAACCTTTAAAATACCACAACTACCCCCACTTACTTTATTTATTACACCTTTTCCATCTTATTTAATACATCCCACCCATTTTCATTAAAGGTATTTTGGTAAACTTTCACCTTTTTTCAACTCTCCTTAAAAATCACCAAAAGTCAAAATGAGAAGATCTTAGAGGGACGGAGGGAGTATGATTCAACCAATTTTAAATACACCTTTACCAATAGCATATTGCCTGTTTAGATTTTACATTTCAAAAAACATTATTTGAGTATTAGGGTTCGTTTGATACACGGAATTGATAGAATTAAAATTGAATTAAAAATTAAAATGATATGAATTTGATTTGGATGGAGTCAAATTTTCCAATTCCAATTAATTTTTGACACTACCAATTTTAAATCCACATATTTTTGTGCTACCAAATACTACGTAATAGAATTAAAATTGTTATTCCCAATTCTAATTAGATAGTTTGAATTCTGTTTACCGAATGAAACTTTAATATTTAAAAAATATACGAGTAATTCGCATTCGACTAAATTAGAAATTAGAATCAATCATACTTAAATAGACCTGATCAAGTAAGGGCTAAGTTGAATTTCAGATCAAGCTCAGATACTAAATGACGAGAATTTTTTAGAATTATACTTGATAACAATCCTGACTATTGAAGCCTGAGTCTGGCTCGAACATGTGCCCGTGGACTTTGGGCTCCCCAGGTCAAAATTATACGGAGTACTTAATCAATTAAAAATAGTTTTAATAATAAAATATTAAGATATTGTATGCTTGATATAATAATTATGATGAATATACTAATTAATCAAAGAATGGTTAATATATGTGATGTGTTTTATGTTATAATGTTATCATTATTTTTTAAAAAATAATATTGCAGTGCGACAAGCAATAATAAAAACATGTTGCTTGGATTAAAAGTATTTATAATTTTCATTTTTTCTCCTTAGTAGTATGTATGAGTGTAATAGTAATAAATGAATACTCTCTCTATTTCACAAAACACTCATGCTTATATTTTTTATTTGTCTAAAAACACTTTGATTTGGACTAAATAGTTTTTTAATCATTAATTTATGAAATGAAAAATTATGAAAATTACACAGAAAATTTCAATCAAAATAAGAGATTAATAATATTTGGGATGAAATCATACACTTTAACAAATAATTTTTTTTTTATAATTTGGATTTTGGTGTATGGGAAAGTGGAACAAATTATGTGCTCAACAAGACAAATATTTTTTTCAATTTTAATCTTTCTTAAAGTGAATGCGAATGGATTGAGTGACGGGTGAAAAAATCTTCACCACGTCAGACTTGATCAATTGTTAGTCCATCTATCATCCGTCCATCATCATTTTATGTTCAGTTTTTATCCATTAAATTGGGTTAGATGGTTCGGTTATCTATCTGGTCGGGTAGAAATTGTTATCTCTAGATGGGAGGGATGAAAAGAGGGGGGTGCGTATATTTGTCTTCACGGCTGGAATAAAAAAAAGGAAGAAGTGAGGCTAGAACGAGGCGGGATGACCAGGGTGCGGAGCCTGCCCATCCCTAACACGGATGTGGGGGGATGGTGCCTCCACCTCAGCCATCCCCCAATGGTTATTCTCACATCTGAATATCATGAGACTAAATGCTTGTTCTTTTTACTTGATTTGATTGGTTATGATCTAATTGAAATGAATTCTGATCTTATCTAATTATAGTTATATTTAAAATTGTTGTTTATTTAATCTTATCTAATCTGATTCCAATAAGAATATGAAATAAATACAAAGTAAGTTGAATAGAGTAAGCTCTAGTTCACATTTCAGCAATCAACGTATAAAATGATACATATGAATCAAACCTTCAAAAGTATATGAGCACAACAACAACAACAACAACAAGAACCCGGTGGAATCCCATAAGCGTTGGGTTTGAGGAGGGGTATGTATGTTGTATGCAGACCTTATCATTGTCTGAAAATAGAGAGATTGTCTTTAAGAGACTCTCAGCTATATAAAGAAGTGTTTTTCAAGACTAGATAACAAATAACAAGCCAACATAAGGATGACCACAAGTTATGATGCTTGAAGTTGGGCTAGTTGCTTGACAAGTTCTTCAAAACATTCAATCGACCCTTCCTCTGTTTTAACCGTTGTGAGTGCCACATCTCTGAATTCCTTCACTCTTGCCTTCTCCAACACAAAGCAATTAATCGCATAACTTATTTTTCTTGCCAACTCGGGCACATCGGGCACTGTGTCTGTGCCCTCACACACACAGATCCCTACACCCAAGTAATCTACTAATAACTTGGCATTAACAAATTGATCGGCCTCCATTGGCCATCCTAGTATTAGCACCCCAGCTACTATTGATTCCAATGCCGAGTTCCATCCGCAGTGACTCAAAAAGGCACCCACGGCTCGATGGTTCAATATGTCCACTTGGGAAGCCCAACCCCTTACTACGAGCCCTCTTCCCTTCACCCGATCCTCGAATTCATCCGAAACCAGTCCAAAGCCCAATTCAACTTGTTGGATCGAGGGCTCTTTCACGACCAATATAAAGCGGACCCCACTTCTCTCTAGCCCATCGCATAAGGCCTCGAGTTGGTTATGTTTCATCAACTTCTGACTCCCGAAAGCCACGTATAACACAGACTCGTCGGGGCATCCATCAAGCCACGCAAACAAACTCCCTTGGCCCGACCCACGACCACGAGGCCCACCGATCAAATTCAAAAGCCCGACGGGAAAAACTCTCCCATGGCCCATTTTCTTCTTCAAGAATTCCAAAAACACCCCTTCTAATGCATGAAATGTGGTTACAACAACCCCCCAACTTTTGCAATTCCCAATCATGCCCCTCCTTATTCCCTCCCAATGAGGGTCACCTTCCTTGTAGTTTTTCATGATTGAAGGGAGATGTTCCCTTGGGAGAGTGGGACACTTTGGCATCTCTTCAAAGTCAACCGCCTCCAAAGACTTGACCTTCTCCATATTCCTCCACCCATACTCAAAAACGCAGGCCAAGAACGCGCTAAGGCCGTAAAAGCAGATCCCCGGAACTCCGATTTCTCCGGCCATCTCCTCGACCCAGCCCAGGAACACGTCGTGGATGATCGCCGCCGGAGGATCGGGATGGGAGGCGAACCAATCGACGATCGGGCGGCGGAGATCGGAGAGGGAGCTCATGATGGGGGCGTTGCCCCAGTTCCCGACGTCCCTGACATTCTCGACGCCGGGGGGGAGGAGGGGGTGGCCGGAAGGGAAAGGGAGAACCAGAGTCCGGATCGACGGGTGGGCGGAGAGGAGCGGATCGAGGATCGGGAGGTTTTTGGGGGTGACGAGGACGGTGACGGTGAAGCGGCGGAGGGCGAGGTGGTGGGTCAAGTCGAGAAGTGGGAGGATGTGGCCTTGGGCTGGGTAGGGGAAGACCAATACATGGACTCCTTCGCCATTTTTGGAGCTTGACATGGATGCTGCTATGGTGATTTTACAGTTCGATCCGCAGGACAGAATCCGGAGTGGATGAAATTGGACAATTTTTTGGGCGGTGCAACAAAGTTAACAATAAGTACTCCTTTTTTTCATACTCCCTCTATCTCAAAATGTCACACTTTTTTTGGCACGCCTGAAAATATTTTTTCAATTTCCTTTTCAGTATATTTACTAAAGATAAATCTCAGTAACACTTTTTTATTTTATCACTAATCTATTTTTTTATTGTTTTTTAATAAGAAAAAGAAATTAAAAAATTTATAGTGTATGCAGATTTTTTTCTTCTCATCCATAAGATACAGTATGGTTTTTACGATAACCAAATACTCAGGATATAAATCGTCTCCAAGATAATATCCATGTTTGTATTCTACCCTCGAAATTGTGAAGAGGTATATGGTCCAATACCCTGATTGATTTCGTTGAAAATGTCAGATTGATCGATAATGTTTAGATCGTTTGAACCTGCGACACCCAAGAAAGCATGCCAAATCTAAAGATCTTGCGAGACAACAACTTTTAGAATGATTGCGGGATGTTTGTGACCCCCTTCGTGTGATTTGACCACGTGATGCGTTAGGACAAATACACCATGACCAGTGTATACCATCGTATAAGTTCAAAACATTTTCAACTTCAATCCATCAACTCTCATCTCCCTCAGTTCATTATTTTTCTCTATTTATTTTCAATTTTATCATTTCACTCCAAAAAAATGGCTCTTCTTTCAACGAATGATGAGCTTGTGAATATGTTGATTGCGACGTAACATGAGTATTTTTATTTTAATTCTACATATGTATTTTGTTTTTTTGTAAAAATTTTGTATTAAAAATGATGAATAATATAAAAGAAATGAAGAACCAGGGTGAAAGGACAATAACATTGCAGGTGTTTTGTGGCGGGGTTGAAAATTAGTGAACTGCTGATGTGGCAAGCAATGAGGCAAGACGAGATTCCTCATCATTATAAATGCCCCTTAAATAATGGATAGAGAATGATTGGGGAGAAGAGTGAGCTGAGTATGATAAAAATAAATCTCTCTAGATAAGAGTAATAAAATATAAAAATATTAAAATAGGAGTCATAAGTCTTTTAAGACCAAAATAAGAGTGTAGTGGTAATGTGTCGTAAGAGTACGCATTGGCAGTATGTTAAAAAAATGATGATAATGTAATATATGAGAGTGACCAGTCAACTATCGGTGATCGGCAACGGTACTCTGGTGGACGGTTGCGACTGATGGAAGTGTGGTGGTAATAGTGTAGTAGTCACAATGTGACAATGTCATGAATGTGGCAGTGTAACAATAGCAATGCGAACTTCTATTTTGGTCTTAAAAGACAAATGACTCCTATTTTAGTATTTTCATAGGTTTTTTACTCATATCTAAGAAGTTTTCTCTTTGATAAATGGGGTACACCATATGTGTATCCCTAGTATTACTCATACATTATTAATGTATCTATCACACTCTACTTTTACCCATGGTAAAGTTAATTACAGAATATTCATTCCTCCAATTTTCCAAAAGTTAAAAATTGAACTCTTTTACGAAATGGAGAGGGTATTTTAATAATTAGTTTATTTAAAATGAATGTAGAAAAAGAATAAAACTCACATCATTAAAAAATAAAATTGAAATACGAAATGGTTCCTTTGAGCCTCAAATTGCATGTCATATTATGACCTAGGCACCTACGATGCTCCATTAGTAAAATTGACGATTTTTACTATCACCCCAGCTCTCCTAAATATAATTTGGGCTACGATAAGTACAAATTATATTTTTTGATTGAGTATTTACCGATTGGTAAGAAAATAAAAAAAGCACAAATTAAATTATTAAGAATTACATTAAATAAAAAATTCTACGAAACAAACTTAATTTATCAAATAGACTATGAAAAAGTACACGTAAACAAAAGTCATTGGAAGGACGATATAGTACCTAAGCCTTTTTTTAGAGTTGGAATATTTTTCGTAGAAAAGTAAAAAGGAAATATGTGATCCACAATCCTTTATTTTTTCTAAATAAATTCTAAGAACTCAAATTTTCATTTTCTCCACATTTTTTAAAAAAAATACTCTGTATAATCTACTACCTCCGTCTCAATGTTTTTGGCTACTTTGACTTTTTCGTATCAAACTGTATAAATTTTAAGTTTCAATTATTCTCAATTTGTAAAGTATATTAATACAATTAAATAAAATTTATCAACAAGATTTATCTAATAAAATTATTTTTATTCTAATATAAGAGGGACTTTTTTTTTGATGGCATATAATAGGGATAATTAATGAAGCACAATGTAAGTCCTAGTGGACAACCGACAAGAGTTCCCACAGAAACTCATCTCCTCCACCCACTCTTTCCCTTTCACTTTCAGGTACACCCCACTCCCTCTTCAATGAGTGCCAATGACCAATACTCTTCCCATTCGATCTTTACATTCAATTTCTTCTCCAAATCCACATTTTCTGCCAAAAGGGTACCCAGTTGCCCAATTTCCTCCCAGGTATCTCTTCTTATTTCTGCTCTTTTCTTCTTCTTCTTCTTCTTTTCCCACTGGTAGTTAATCTTTGTTGGGTCTTGATTCTAAGGCATTGCTTGTAATGTGTTCCACTGGATTCCCACTTCTCTGCTAAGCTCTTTGAATTCTTGTTCCAGATTTTCTCCAATACCCATTTGTTCTGGAAGTGACTGAGCATATAGCCATATATATATATGAACAATCATGAAGCTTTTTTGATGATTCATAAAAAAAGTTTTTCTTTATGAATCATTCCACTTATAATAAAGATTGTTTAGTGTAGTCCTGTTTGATGATTGTTGGGTTATTATTCCTTTTCTGAGTCTTCAACCACAAACTTGAACTTGTCCTTGAGCCAGTTCTTTGACAAAGATTTTGGGCTGCTCACCAATTCACATCTGATTTGTGTGAATTTGTGGGAAACAAGCTTTATCGTGTTAGAACTTAGAATATACCCGGAATAGAATCTTAAACCACGAGCTTGAACTTTTGATTGAGCTGGTTACTTGACATATTGCTTCATTGCTAGATGTAATAGAATAGATTTGGGTCATATGTGTGTATTGTGTATAAATTTTGCATATATTTCCAATAGTTGTTGTGCACTGACATTTAAAACCTCGATCTTTGTCGAAAAAAGGGGTGTTTTTTATGGGACAAAAGGAGTGAATGAATGTCCTTCGGTTAGAGCCTAGTAAGGCCATGGAAGAGGTAAAAAGTTCAATGGAACTGCTGAGTAGAGTGAACCTGGACATTGCATATTCTTCTGAGAAACTGGCGAATCTTGGCCAGCTTCTCACGATTGTGCTTACAAAACAAGAAGAAGTCGAAGAAGCAATGGCGGTTGAGGATGAAGACAACAATGATTCTGTGGATTCGGTCGAGAAAGCACTCACACTGCACCACTTGAATGTGCTTCTCAAGGCCGAGCTAAGACAACTGGATGATTTTGTGAGTCGTGTGCACGATCTGATTCTTGATACCCGCCAAAAGATTTGTTCACAGGAGGAAGAGAATGAGTTCCACAGCTCAGAAGAATCGCTCGGGCAACTGAAAGAAGGGATTCTTAAGATGAAGATGCAGCTTGACAGGCCATTGATGGTTGGCTCCCTTTTCTCTGATCAAGATGAATGTGAGTTTAATGGTTGGATTCTTAAAAGTGCAGAGTTTTCATTCTTCCAACACTTTTTTTTAGATCATTTGAGCAAAAAACTAACATGTCTAGAGCATGACAGGGAGACACGGGTTGAATTTGAAGCCGCAAGAAAAGCGTGTCTTAAGAATGCTGGAGAAGTCTCTAGCAAGAGAAGTGGAACTTGAGAAGAAAATAATGGCTATGAAACAGAACGAAGACGATCTGAAACTGAAGCTTGGGCTAAGAGAACAAGTCACGTTGCACATGGAAGAAGCCGCGGAGGTAATATGGGGAAGGTTTTTAGAGGCAGAAAACACAGTTGAGGTTCTCATGGGCATCTCCAAAGATATGGTAGGGAGACTCGAAATGGCGAACCTAAACATGAACTCTTCCCTTCAAAGAGAGCGCGATTTGCAATCCAAATTAGAAACTTGCATGGAAAACTCAAATGCCAAAGATCTCACCATTCATAGTCTTGACAAAAGCATTGCGCTGCTCAAAGCTGGAAACTCCGAAGCACGAAAAAACATCAAAGAGTTAGAGCAAAAACTAAGCGCATCCGAGTCCAAACTGGCACACGCGAATTCATTGGTCAAAGTGGGCCGTGACCAGATCAAAGAAATGGAAAGTGAAATTGAATCTTTGAGAGAAGGTGCTTACCAAATGGAGACCCGGGCTGAGAGCGCCGAGGCAAAAGCATTACAGTTAGAAGAGACAAACTTGGAGCTAAGCGAAGAACTCAGTTTCCTCAAAGACAGCCACAAAAAAAAGGCCAACCTACTTGAGAAAGATGTAAGAGAGTTGGAAATCCAATTGCAGCATTCAAAAGCATCTTCTGAGGCAAGCCAAGAGCAGCAAAACATGCTGTATTCTGCCATTTGGGACATGGAGACATTGATCGACGAGCTGAAGCAAAAGGTTTCAGTAGCAGAAAACAAGACTGAAGTTGCAGAGGAGCAATGCATTGTCTTGTCTGAACTCAACTCAGAGCTCAACGCTGAAATAGTCAACCTAAGGGGCAGAGTGGGAAGTTTGGAGGGTTCTTTGAGTAAAGCCAATGCTGAGAAAATGGCCAGCGCAAAAGACATTAATGTTAAGACAAAGCTTATAATGGATTTGGTAATGGAACTAGCAGTAGAACGAGAACGGGTACAAAAACAGGTTTGCCTTTAATTTCTAGTTTCTACCCATCATTTTGTTTCATTATGAGTGTGAGCCATCATCACACATCAAACAAATATAAGAGCACAAATCAACGTATATATAAATTGCTGCAGTTATGCTGTTTGACAAAGGAAAACAGATTGTTGACCAAGAGGTTACAGATGAACAGAAGTTCAGAAGATAAAGAACAATTACCCTTAACAGAGAATTTTGTTGTCCAAGAAAATCCTCAGGAGGTGCCCCTAGAATCCTCTCTGAGAAGCACCCAGGTAACATAACATTACTTTTTTATAAGTATAAAACCTTTCCCGAGGCTACGACCGTTACGTTGAAGTGTTTGATTCATTCGTGGTTTATTTCATCGGTTTAACCCGAAAAAAAGGTGGAAGATGTGGACGATAATGCCCTCCACATAGAAACTGAACATGATCATCGTAAGAGCAGAAGACGCGCGTTCATGGCGATTCTCATCTTGTTGCTCTCGGTATCAGCTCCGTTGATGTTATATGGCCGAATATATACGTTTGCTAACTATGGTGGTTGACCACACTTGACATGTTCTTGCTGCCTGTGATATCTCTATGTAACAATAATATGTGTCACACAATTCATGCAAGTGTTTGGATGTATTAAATCTCACTTGTAACTAATATATTCAGATAGAGTATATTTTTACAATCTGAGTGCTACATTCTTTTAGCAATGAATCAACATGTTCTTCATTGGAAAATTATTACATTGGAGTAATAAGTTTATAGTGCAAAAAAAAAAAAAAATCTGTTATTACAAAATGTTTTACTGATGAAGGAAAAGATGAGTAAACGGCATAATGGAAGGGCATAAAACAAAGAAAAAAAGAATGTTGCTGCCCAGGATCGAACTGGGGACCTTTAGTGTGTAAGACTAACGTGAGAACCACTACACTACAGCAACTCTTTTGTTAACACTCAGTATAATTTGCATATGGCGTGTAGCTAATTGTTAATCTTTCCTCAAATATTTGTAAAATTTGATTTTCATTGCCTTGAATTCATTCAAAACTTCTTTTTGACTTTTCACAACCTTTAATGCAATACTTTGACTGATGACTACAACAAAGTACGGAGTATATCTCTATTTATATACGAGTATTTTTTTGTAACAATATCTCTATGAAATTATTTATGTGAATAACTCTTCATCAATACTCCCTCCGTCCCACTTTAGATTACAATATTCCTTTTTAGTTGAAATTAAGGAAGAGTCAAATCAAATTTTTTTTCCTCAAATTACCCCCCAAATCCCCCCAAATAGTGTGAATAGTGACTGGCAGAAAAGAAAAGAGGAAGGTAAAAGAGTCAAATCACTATAAAATTATTTATTTTGTAATCCTTTTTGGGACAAAAATGTGAGGAAATATTGTAATCTATTTCAGAACGGAGGGAGTATTATTTATTTCTTCCCAATTTTAATACGAAGTACTAAACGTTACATGTTCTGAGTAATAGATTACCAAAGTACGTCTACTACGTTCGTAGCGAATTAGAAATCAAAGTGCTACGGAGTACAAATTAAAATAAGTGCAAGTATTACTGATAGAATTTAGAATGAGGCAGGGATCGCACAGGACTGGAAATTAAAATACTCAGATTGAACTACATTAAAAAATTGAATTCAATAGATTACTTAGTAGTTGAACTCAAGAAATTATATACTACATACCATTTATTTTTTTCTCACTTTTTTGATGTGGGATACTCTCTACTAATTACTCTTTCTGTTTACCAAAATCTTTTCTCTTTTTTTTTCATTTATCAAAATACTTCCATTTTCTATTAAAACTCACATCATTGGACTTTCCACTCCTTTGAGGTCCACCTGCTCAACTGTAGGAGTCAGACCCTCCCTTGCATCATTGGACTTCCCTTTCATCCTGCTCATGACACCAACTGTTTTTACTTAGCTTCTTTGATTTGTTCTTTAGCTTGTGCCCACAATCTTTGCTTAGTTTTTGAAAATTGAAATTATGTGAAACTGCCCAACAAGTTCTTTCACCACAACTCGATCTATTATAGGTTTTCCTTTCTTCAAGTGTTGTAGAGTGATTTGGATGCATGATATATGTGTGCTCTAGTGTCATCTGTGAGTTTGTGTGTGTTTTTCTCTCTTTGATTACGTGTTTCTCTTTCATTATCTTTTTATGAAACATGATTTATTTGAAGAACATATAAGTTGGGAGACATGCTTGATAACAAGATCGAGGAGGATGAAGAAAGACGGCTGCCTGCTTGAAGAAAGAATAAAACGAGAGAAAGCATAGAGAGAGAGAGAGAGAAAAAAGCAAAAATGAAGTATATATGAGCTACTATAAAGTCCTTAAGCACGATTATATGTTTGTCCACCGACTCTTTTGCTTTATATAAGGGCATAATAGACATTTCAAACACTTTAATCTCCCTTCTTGATATGTGTGCCACTTTGAAAGTGGACCAACATAGGAGAACGAATGGAGTATATACAGAGTATAAAAATATGAAATATGCATGTCTCATTTAATCTCAACAATATATTTCAAAATAAATCCATTGATTTTAAATTTACATCACAATTTCATGTTGCTTTAACATGCATATTTTTGTGATAGAGATCATTATTGCGAATCACTTCTCTACGCAATCATTTATTTCTTCATTCCCAAATTTAAGAGACTATAAATATTACTGGTTCGAGTATTAAGTTACTGGAGTGCTCCGTAGCTAATTGAATTCAAAGTGGTACAAATTAATTATGTACGTACTATATCTCCACATCATAATTAACATTTTAAGAATAATTTATTACCCCGGAGTATTATTATTATTATTCTTTACTCCGTATATATATAGAGAAATGCTACATTCACAAACAAAATGATCACAAACTCTACAAACTTACGGAGTATTTATGGTTTAAATTTTTAATTTAAAATTTTTTAGACCATTTAATTTTTTTATCAAAGTTTACAAATAGTAATTAAATTTGTAAATTTTGTGATAATTGTGTTTGTGAACCAAGCATTTCACACACACACACACATATATATGGAGTACGTAGTAAATAAAGAATTAAGGGTTTTGACATAGTAATACACTGCTTAAGTATCTTTCTTTAATAAATCAAAGGGAGAAAGACCAAAGTAGGACTAAAACATTGAAGATATACCAAAATAGGACTTCCATGTTTTTATTCCCGAAATAGGACTTACATTACCAAACATGGTCATATATATTACCAAGAAAGTATAGTAATTTGCACATGTACACTGCCACATTACCACTATGCAAAGTCACATTACCACAATGCAAAGTCCTATTCTGGGAAAAAAAACATGAAAGTCCTATTTTGGTACTTTTCTCTATGTTTTAGTCCTATTTAGGATGGTTTCTATAAATCAAATCTACTCCCTCCGTTTCTTAAAACTCTTCCTCTTTCATTTTTTTTGTTTTTCTTAAAATACTTCTCCTTTCTAGTATTAAAAAACCACTTTTATCCATACTTTTTCATATCCTACCTATCACATCATATTTTTTCACTAACAACTAAACTATCACATCTTACTTTTACCCATCACATCAAAGTCAAAATTGAAAAGTGAACTACAATTTAACACTTCCTTAATTTACCCTAAAGTCAAAAGAGGAACTCTTTTAAGAAACGGAGGTAGTATAAGGTAACAAAGATGCATGCATGCAAACAAACATCAAGAACAAAAGTCCGATTAATTAATTTGGATTGGATCAACTTAATTGTATGAATGTGATGTTGAAAGACTATCTCTAAAACCCTATGCGGTGATACGAAAATGTCAGGAAGGGCTTCAAGTGCTTCAAACTCCAATAGGGAACTAGGGTTTTTTATTATAAAATACCAATATTTATAGCTATGGGAAAAGTGAAATTTGCACTAAATAGGACTAAAACACAATGATTTTCCTAATTTAAAACTTAAACTTTTTTATTCCCTAAATAGGACTTAATAATGACCTAGTGGGAGGAATAATGTCTAATAATGATGAACATTTACTTGAATAATGACTACTTGATAATGACCAAAGGTCCTACATTGGGAAATAAAAACATATGGTCATATATTAGAAAAGTCATTATGTTTTAGTCATATGGGAAAACCCTAATTCTACGCTACCCTGTCGGTTCAAAAAAAGTATCAAGGGAAAAAACCGAAAAGAAAACCCTTGAAGGGACTTATGATACGCCCACCTAAGAAAATCTATTACATGTAATTAAAATATAAAACTCTTAATTCACTTGAGAACATAATCCCCGTGCCAACCCGGGGTCTTCTCGCCCGTCGCTCGCGTGGCTCCCCACGCTCCTCCTCGTGAACCCTTGCTTCCTCATCAGCCCGTTTCATCTTGGCCCGGCCCGTTGCCCTTTTCTTGCGCGTCGTGTCCTCCTCTCGCGGCCCATGCACACCATGCATAACATGCGGTTCCACTCTTTTGATACGAAGAACCGTTAGAAAACCCAGAAAGATTACAAATCATTCCATTACAAAAACATTTCATCAAAGTTATGACCAAAACTCATATGGCCGGGTGATGCCACTGAACCACCACCAGGGAACTCATCAAAGGAGTTGTGCTCGCTGCCGCTGCCGCCGTGTTGTACTTCAAAGTCATCCAACATACTCAAAATCCATTCATCATCAGCTTTGTTATCTTCTTGAATCGCCACCGCCGCACTAGCCGCTGCTTCCCTGCCGCCAACGTCATCGTCGCCGTCTTTTAGCAAGAAATCTTCCACCATCTCTAGCGTCCATGTTGTGTCACCCGAAACCCCACTTATTAGAGGATCCGCCACCGCCGCCGCCGTATTGGTGGTGCATGCATAGGGATATGTCTCATTACTTCCGGCATCTTGTTGTAATAACGCGGGGCCGGGGGCGGCGGTCATGTCTTCGACCTCCATTCCGCCGAACAGCTCATCGTACGAAAACGATACGTCCTCATCGTTAGTGTTGTTGTTGTTGTTGTTTCCTTCTTCTTCTTCGCGTGACAATAACATCATTCTTGGTGCGTCCTCCGCGGCATCATCGTTGTTGTTTTCTTGTTCTTGTGACAATAACATCATTCTTGGAGCGTCCTCCGCGGCAACATCGTTGTCGTTGTGGATTGGTCCTCTCTTCTTCCTCTTCAGCCGGCATACGACGAAATCTTTGCGGTCGGATTTGGCGGTGCCTTCCGGGAGAGAGAATTCATTCATGACGAATTCGCCCTTGCGCTCCTCGTCATCTCCCCAGTAGGTGAAGTTCCTCTTGAACCCTAATAGAGACTGTTTCCGCTCGGGGTTGAAAATAGTCTCAACTTTACTCGTCCCGTGCCACGTCCCCTTCCCAACGGACCGGATAAACCTCTTCCCAGGACGCTTATTGGCCGGTTTCCGCTTTAGCTCCGTGAAGAAGTACCAGGTGTTGTCTTCGGCTGCCGCCGTGCCACGGCCGGTGCAAATCTCCCATGGCTCTTCATGCGCGTAGAGGTCACGTCGCTCCACAAGGCCGCCGGTGTACTCCCCGTCAGTGAACTGCCGTAACATCTTTAGCAGTTCGGCGTCAGTTGGCCGGAAACGCAGGCCATCCTCAGTCATCTTCTTGATCTCTCTCTCTCTCTCTCTCTCTCTCTTCTTTATTACTCCGTATGAAATTTGTTTTGAGGTATTGACGGCAGTCACGCCACACAGACACATATATATACGGGGTACGAAGAAGTAGCCCTAATTTCCTTTTTAATTTAATTTAACTCTTAATATTATTTATTAGTATGGCTGCGTGCACTAAAAGCAAATAGTATGACGCCCTCATTAACCTCATTAATTACTTCTTGATTACTTGGTTGGTGTACATTTTTATTTGTTGTACTGATCGTGAGTAACTCTAAAGGAGTTTTGTTACTCCATTCGTTCCACAAAACCCTTCCGGTTTTGACTTTGGAGAAAAATAAGGACAGTGAAATTTTGGTTGACTTTTCAATTTCGCCCCTAATTTGATGGAAAAAAATAAGATGTGATAGTTTTGTTATTAGTGATAAAGTATGATGTGATAGGTAGGGTATGAAAAAGTATGGGTAAAAGTGGTTTTTTAATAGAAAGTGGAAGTGTTTTGTGGAAAGCAAAAAAAACGAAAGAGGAAGAGCTTTGTGGAACGGAGAGAGTATTAGATTAGCATCCAAACACATCATATTTCAAAAGACCTTAACAAATTTAACTTAAAACATTATTTAAATGTTAATGAGAGTAATACTTACTCCGTCTCTTAAAGTCGTTCCCTTATTGACTTTTTGGAAAATTAAAATATATTTTAGTGTTGACTTTCCAAAACTAAGATATGATGAATAGATTATCAGTAATATAAAAATGACTTGTTGATTTTTGTGGTCGGCCAGTCGACAATGATTACTCAGAAAATTGTAACACTATCTCTAATTCCAGTGTTCAGTCCAAATCAACAGTCACTCAATAATGCCACTTCAGCATTAACTATACTAATCATTTCACTCATTTCACATCTGTAATGCCTTACCACCACTGCAATAATTACATTTTTATTTTTATAAATAATTACCTATTTCTAATTTTCTGCTCAAATTAAATTATAATTTTTATAAAATAATAACTTTATTTCTTTTCCATCTTATTTTTTTTGTAATTAACTTTTTCGAAATTATTTTTATAAATTTTTTTTTGTAATTAATTTTTTTTGTTAATAATAATGTTTTGTTTATATTTTTTTCCTTTTTTATATTATAACAAATTATTTTACAAAAAGACTATTAATTAAAAAAACGCCATGTTGGATAAAAGAAAAGTACGTGCATGCATTACATAAATTAAGAAAAAAAATACATTAAAGGGAAACATGAAAAACATAGGAAATATAAAAAATCTAGACTTAATCACTATCACGTTTGGCCGAATATTCTTTTACTCCCTTCGTTCCTTTAAACCCTTCCGCTTTTGACTTGTGGCAAAAATAAGAAAAGTGTAATTTTGGTTGACTTTCCAATTTTGTCTCTGATGTGATGTGTAAAAGTAAGATGTGATAGTTTGGTTATTAGTGAAAAAGTATGATGTGATAGGTAGTGTATGAAAAAGTAAGAGTAAAAGTGGTTTTTTAATAGAAAGTGGAAGTGTTTTAGGGAATTCAAAAAAACGAAAGGGACGGGTTTTGTGGAACGGAGGGAGTATTATTTTGTCATTCATTCTCTCGAAGCAATCAAGGCAAGATCACGTTTGCTCGTACCTTCATACTTCGTGCTTAGGAACGCCATGTCGGTCACCTTTTTTGATGTGGAGCCTTTTTTTTGAACATTTTTTCCTCTTCACGGATATCCCAGCATCAGTATTGGGACGGCCCAAGGCTTTAAAAAACAAATTTATCTTCAAGATGGAGACTCCCATTCATGATTATATTTTGGATGAGAGAAAAAGTGACGATTGCGAAGAAAAGAAGACATGAACCTATCGATCAATTTCAATACGAAGTACAAAATTCTGAAAATTAGATTAGTGGAGTACTATTCGCTAGGTAATTGGAAAACAATTCAAAGTGCTACAAATTACTATACGTACAAGTACTACTATATGACATACTCCGTAGTATGCATGTGATACGTCTAAGTATCGTCAAGGAGAGGATCGGAGCTCCTCCGGGCTGTCAAGAACTGGTTGAAGAGGGAAAAAGAAAAGAGGTAGAGGGAGAGAAGGGGAACACACACGCTGGTGCGGCGGGGGAGAAGAAGGAGAAGAGAGAATAGGGTTTTAGGTTTAATTATTGCTTATCATTAATGTAAATGGGTATATCTCTATTTATAGGTAGAGAGTCCCAAACCCTAACGTCTACGTTATCTATCCTGACGGTTCAAGAAAAGCGACGAGGTAAAGAACTGTAAAGAAACCCTCGAAGGAGCTTATAATTCGCTCACCTAGGAAAATCTACGTTACAATTTTATGAAATAATAAATTAAGTATATGAAAGAATAAAATAGAACTAATGCATAACAAAATCCGTTTGCCAACGCGGTTTGTTTCGAACCCGTTCACTGCGCCTTGCCCCTACCAATGACGTCGTTTCTTCGGACCCAACTTCCTCATCTTGTGTGGTCAAGGTCGTATCAGCATGAGAAAGTAATAAAGTGCTCATGTACTTGAAAACAAACAAGGGCTAGCTTGGCAACTGACATAGTTATAAAATGCTTACGTACGTATCCTTAATTAAATGAATTAATTCTATAGTTAACAAAGATGCAAACATCAAGATCAGAAGTTTAATTAATTTCAATCAGCTTAATTAATTAATTAATTGTGTTAATGTAATGGTGAAAAACTCTCCCATATAAACCCTAATTTTGTGATTCAACGACTCTCTTGATCGATACAATAATAATCTACACTACTAGGAAATTAAAGAAAGAACCCTAGCCTTAAAAAAACGTAACTACTAGAAACTAAAGGAGCTTTTATATATTTTTCGCTCATCAAATCATACAAACCATTACAATGAATGAAAGAATAATTGAATGAATTCATAACAACCAATGAAAACACTACATACATCAATTTTAAACTATGATCGATCATAATTCTTCGATCATATATGGGAGTGGCCGCTGCCGCCGTGTTGTACTTCAAAGTCATCCAACATACTCGAAACCCATTCATCATAAGCTTTATTATCTTCTTGAATTGCCGCCGCACTAGCCGCTGCGTCCCCGCCGCCAACGTCATCGTTGTCGTCGTTTAGCAAGAAATCTTCAACCATCTCTAGCGTCCATGTTGTATCACCAGAAACCCCACTAAGAGGAGCCGCCACCACCGCCGCCGTATTATTGGTGGTGCATGCATATGGATATGTCTCATTACTTCCGGCATCATTTTGTAATAACGTGGGGCCGGGGGCGGCGGTCATGTCTTCCACCTCCATTCCGCCGAACAACTCGTCGTACGAAAATGATACATCATCATCGTTATTGTTTTCTGGTTCTTCGTGTGACAATAACATCAATCTTAGCGCGTCCTCCGCGACATCGGCGTTGTGGTCGTGGACTGGTCCTCTCTTCTTCCTCTTCAACCGGCATATGACGAAATCTTTGCGGTCAGATTTGGCGGTGCCTTCCGGGAGAGAGAATTCATTCATGACGAATTCGCCCTTGCGCTCCTCATCATCTCCCCGCCAGTAGGTGAAGTTCCTCTTGAACCCTAAGAGAGACTGTTTCCGATCGGGGTTGAAAATAGTCTCAACTTTACTGGTCCCGTGCCACGTCCCCTTCCCCACCGACCGGATAAACCTCTTCCCCGGACCCTTGCTGGCCGGTTTCCGCTTCAACTCCGTGAAGAAGTACCACGTGTTGTCTTCGGCTGCCGCCGTACCACGGCCGGTGCAAATCTCCCAGGGCTCTTCATGCGCGTAGAGGTCACGTCGCTCCACAAGGCCGCCGGTGTACTCCCCGTCAGTGAACTGCCGTAACATCTTTAGCAGTTCGGCGTCAGTTGGCCGGAAACGGAGACCATTCTCCGTCGTCATCATCTTCTCGATCGATTATCTTTGTTTCTCTCTCTCTCTATATATCTCCTGGAATAAGTGAATGTATAAAAGTTGTGAAGGAGAGTATGCAGTGGGGGGGGGGGGCACACTTATTTATAAAAATAGCTGGATGACCTAATTTCCCTAGCCTTTCCTTGGGCTCCAGGTTTCTTTCTTTTTTTTTCTTTTTTTCTTTTTTTAATCATGCCACGTAACCCGGCGTGCAATAAAACAAAGTATGGCGGCGTCATTACAATTTGTTGTAGTAAATGTTTTAGGGTTTTCCTAAGGTACCCACTCAAAAAATGGACAATGTACGTCCTTCCACTCAAAACTTGACACGTGGGTTAATAATGGGTTAATAATTGCTTACTGGGTTACAATTATAATAACATCCCAAATTCCATTCGCAGTATATTATTATTACAAGTTTATTAATTTGAGTATTGATTTTTTTTATCAAGTTTATTAATTTGAGTTTTGATTTTTTATTTTGCCATTCAAGTATTCAACCATATCAGCGTTCACCCAAATCAATAACTCAGCGTCACCTGAACAATGATTGTACTTGTTATCTCACCCGTTTTACACTTGTAATACCTTACCATCATTGTAATGATTACATTTTATTTTTTTATAAATAATTACATATTTGTCAAATTAAATTATAAATTTTATAAAATAATAATATTAATTCTTTCGTTCTAATTTTTTTTAAAATTATTTTTTTTGTAATTAATAAATTATTTTTTCGTAATTAACTTTTTTTCGTTATTAATTTTTTTTGTTTATAATTTTTTTCCTTTTTTAAATTATAACAAATTATTGTACAAAAATACTATTAATTAAAAAATGTCATGTTGAATAAAAGAAAAGCACACACATGCATTACATAAATTAAGAAAAAAAACATGAAAGGAAAACATGAAAAACATACTCCCTCCGTTCTCAAAAACACTTCATCTTTCATTTTTTTCACTTCCAACAAAACACTTCCACTTTCTATTAAAAAACCACTTTTACCCTTACTTTTTCATACCCTACCTATCACATCATACTTTTTCTCTAATAATCTACCTATCACATCTTACTTTAACCCATCACATCAAGGGCAAAATTGGAAGTTAACTACAATTTAACACTTCCTTATTTTTCCATTTTTTCAAAGTAGGAACTCTTTTTGAGAACGGATGGAGTAGGAAATATAAAAAATATAGACTTAATCACGATCACGTTTGGCCGCATATTCTTTTATTATTTTGTCATTCATTATCTCGAAGCAATCAAGGCAGTATCGGCAATATCACGTTCGCCCGTACCTTCATACTTCGTGCTTAGGAACGCCATGTCGACCAATTTTTTTTTGAAGTGGAGCCTTTTTCTTTGAATATTTTTTCTTCTTCCCGGACTCCGCCTCGGGCTGAAATTGCATCTTCGAAATGTAATAATGAGGTTGAGTCTCCGGGATGAAATTCAGAAATGCTAAACCTTGAGAGCCACCCAAGAAGAAGTTCGGGGATGGAGTCCAATACTCAAATCCGTCGAAAGTTGGACGATAAAAATTATCGAACATATTTCCAGCATTCGGATCGTTTGAATAGAAGGGGGAGATTTTTGGGATTGTAAAAATACAAAAAATTGGGATTTTTTGGATTCATGGATTGAGTAGAAATATAAAATTTGTAAAAAATAATAAAAATTGATATTATGAAGAAGTGATTGTGTTCAAAATTTCTTGGAATTTGGTTGTTTGAATAGAAGAGAGAGGGAGTTACTAGGTTTGAAATTTGGCGGAAAAACGTTTAATTCTTTGGGTCAACATGACCATTGCAAAGAAAGAAAAAAAGAAACGATCGGGCGGGCAGTGGAGCACCGTGGTCGTGACCACAGATGCTCTCACGTGTCCTGGCCATGAGGGAGGAGGGCGGTGTTCGCGTGAGGGAGGGAGGAATGTGACGTAGCCACGGTGGATCCATGTGGGGGCGGGGGGAGGGGGAGGACAGGGCCGGTTAGGGATGGCAATTCAACCCGAACCCGAGCTTAACCGACCCGACCGACCACTAAAATATCCGAACCCGAACCGAGAATAAAATAATCCGAACCCGACCCGAAATTTTTTACCCGAACCCGACATCGGGTCGGGTCGGGTGTGGATTTATAATTTTACCCGACCCGACCCAAACCCGAACCCGACCCGACTAAAACCCGAATGTTTTATTACATAAAAGCCTATCTATGTTTTTTATAATTCCTTAATAAAAAAATGAGACATAAAAAAGAGACATGAAAAAAATTAGATTTAATCATTTCAAAATTATTGGGATACGTTGAATTGATTATTAGTTAAAAGTCGGGTTCGGGTCGGGTTCGGGTTTCGGGTTGAAATGTCGGGTTCGGATCGGGTCGGGTTTTTAGCTTAAAAGGTCGGGTTTCGGGTCGGGTTCGGGTTTCGGTTTTAAAAGTTGGGTCGGGTTCGGGTATACTACTATCCAACCTGAACCCGACCCGTTGCCATCCCTAGGGCCGGTCCTAAGAATTTGATGGTCTGGGCCGAGACCGAAAAAGATGCCCTAAAGATCTTATTTCTAATGTCTTATAGGATTTAAGTGCATAAGCTAATTATATTAAATTAATAAATGAATGACATACGTACAATATTATAATAAAGAGTTTATAAATACTTACCTTCACAAACATTTGTCTTAAAGATTGGACTAGACGTCAACTCGGACGAACTAGTGGATCAATGATTAACTGTTCAATCCAAGGGTCAACGACTCGGTTAACTATAATTAAATGAATAATATTTAATATTATATTGTTAGATACGGAGTATTATATTTGTGTTTTTCACTCTCCCATTAATTAATTTTCAATAATATCTTGCATATGCCGTCACATTTTCTATTTACTAGTTGTATTATTATTTATTAGTATCAAAGATAAATAATAAGTATCTAATAAAACTAATATACTAAGGCAATACTCATATTCAAAAAAGTAAAGGCTAGGTAATGTATTTTTTATATAATACTCTCATTTCTGTATGTAAGACTTTACACTTATATTTAGTTGATTGGAAATAGAAAAAAATAAGAAAAAACAATTTTAATATATTAAAAAATTGTCCACTTTCATTTTTACACACCATTCAATACACTTCTTTAATCCATTTTGTCTTGTAATTTGTATATTAAAAAATTATAGAAATTATATATTAATAATCTATATGTTAAGACAAATCAAACAAGATCACACATGACTATATTTAGGCTTACACATTGAGAGAATTTGATGAGTCAAAGTGCTTAGATGAACAGTTCCAAAAGTCAAAACTGGACGAATACTCCGGGACGGAGGGAGTAATTTTTATTGATGACAAAAATTTGATGTATTTTTTATTTTGAAAAAATTATTTTTTAGGTATAATTCATATTAATTTTTTTAATATAACATAAATAATTTGTTTATTTAATTTTTAACTATTTTTATAAGTTTATTAGACAAGTATATTAGATACTACTTGTTTTTTTTTTCAAAATAATTATAAATTTTATTCAATCAATACATTAAATATATATTACATTATGCGTGACACACTGACATCAACAACATTGGTAACTCAAGTGGGTTGAGAGCTCTGTGACACCCCATACGTATGACACAGGTTGGGCCTTTGCGAAATTTTTAATATAGCAGAATACTGCATATATATGCATAATATAAAAAAATTGGGCCCTTTAAATATTGAGCCCAGTCTGATTGGCCTGCTCGACCCACCCTTGGGCCGGTATTGGGGAAAGGGGCATTACAGACGGCCTAAAGTACTCATGTGAGTCACAAAAACATTATTAAGTTTCGTTTGAAACAAAGATAATGTGACATAATGCAGAAAATAAAAAATAAAAAACACTAAAAATAAAAAAAGTATGATATGGAAACAAATAAGAAGAGAAAATATTATAAATGAATGGAGTATAACTTATTTTTTAAAATACCTTCTATTTTTTCCAACTTCTAATTTCTTTTAATTTCTAGTTTTTCCCAACCCCTTCTAGTTTCTCAAAACCTACGTATAGTATTATAAAGGTTTCAAAAAAGTATGCTGAAAACATTAAGAGTCACATTTCGATGAAAGATTTGAAATTAAACAGCTTTAAATCTCATTATTTCCAAGTACTGATTTAGCATTTTCTGTTAGTGGCAGTTATATTAATATTACCAATAAATGCGTTTGTGTGTGTGTGTGGGGGAGGGGGGGATTTCAAATGAACAAATTTACCCTTAAAGTGTAAAAATAAAGAAATGCAAGATGTAGATTAACTTAAGAGTAAAATTGAAAATTTTTCATAAATAGGGTAAATTTAGCAAAAAGAGAAGTGAATTTAGCAATACCTGAATTAGAATGGATCGAAATAGAAATTGTAAAACTAAACTGTTAAAAAATTATAATACTCTGTACCTAATTGACAAGTGGAGTTAATCGTCTTTCTCTATCCATTTTCAGCTATCATTTGATAAAATAATAGTCATGTGCTCATGCTACCTTTTTTTTATAGATCTTTTGATAAAGTTTGAAATTTATAAATATACGGTGTAAATTTTATTTTTTTAGTTTTACACTAATATTTAAATAAAATGGATTAAAAATAACATTGGTTGAGTATCATAACACATGATAGCCGGTATACAAGAATTAATTGTATATTTTGTAATGAATTTCTGTCGAAATGTAAACAAAGTCAAAAGTTCGTAGTTAAATACTACCTTCGTCCAAGGATATCAGTCGATGTTGACTTTTTCAAATCAAACTGGATAAACTTTGATCTATCAGTTAAATAAAAATTGCATTGCATATCAGTACAATTTCATTAGATTTATCTTGCTGAAAACTAGCAAGAAGTTATTTCATTAATTTAGAAAACATGCAATGTACTCCCTCCGTTCCGAAAAACATGGGAGTTTTGATTTTGAAGAGGGATTTAAGGGAAGTGTATTTTGGTATTGAATTTCCAAAAATGTCCTTTGATGTGATGAGTAAAAGTATGATTTGATGGATAGATTATTAGTAAAAATGTATGATGTGATAGGTAGGGTATAGTATGAAAAAGTAAGGAGTAAAAGTGACTTTTTAATAGAAAAGAGAAGTGTTTTTTGGGACGGATGAAAAAAGAAAGAAGAAAGGTTTTCAGGGACGGAGGGAGTAGTTTTTATGTAATTGATTGTTGAAGTTCGTCCCATCCCATTTGACTCGAAATATATCAAAATGGGCGAATACTCTAAAATAGAGGATGTATCTATCTTTTTGAAGCATAACCATTATGACTTTAGTGATACATCAAAAGGTAAATGAATATGGATTTTTTAATGCACCATAAATCCATAATATATAAACAAAGTCATAATGGTCAATTAAAAATAGAGGGGAAGGAGTGTTTGTTTGAAACTAGCACACTCAGAAATCAGAATTGTTAAAAGCTTATCAAATTAATAAATTATTAGTAGAAATTTAGAGCATAGAATTATTATGATTAATTCTGATTACAAACAGAACATAAGATGGAAGGCATCATGAATCTTAGCTAGGAACCTGTTTGGATGGGTGGAAATGGGAAGGCGCGGTGGAGGAGGCTCAGGCTTCTTTTCCTTCTTCCGGCGAAGTTGAAAGAACTGTTGCATGGATTCTGCACACTCTGACGCTAATACCCCTCGCCTCACGTTCATTTTCGGGTGGAAAGGGTGGACCGGAGCGGGCGGTTTATCCGTTGATTGCTGGCCATCTCCATCAGGAAAAAGCCTGTCAAATTTGCACTCAACTGAGTTAAAAAAAAAAGGTTTTATAAAATTGAGTGATCTATGTGCTAAAAGAAACTCTTGAAATATGAGCTTTTGAGCTTATCAAGTGATCTTTGTGTTATGAATCTGCTAAAAGTTGTGAATCAATCAAGGACAAGCTTTTGATATAAGCTCTCTAACAAACATGGCTTGTTTGAAATAAGCTGCAGAATGTATGTATGAAGAAGAGCTTATACCTAATCCAGCTTCCATCAGCACCCAGAAGCTTATTTGGAGCTCCCCAAACAACCGTATCGATCCTAGCTTGGAGTATTGCGCCAGCACACATTGGACATGGTTCAAGTGTAACATAAAGTGTGGTTTCCTATACAGTTCAGAATCACATGAGATTGAAAAACACATTCATAAAAAAAAGAAAATAAAGAAATGGAGTTCAATGTTCTACAGGGAGATTTAACTAAACATTCAATGTTTAAACAAGTCAAGCATGGGGTTTACCGAAAGTCTCCAAGACCTAAGGATATTTGAAGCCTCCCGTATGCAAATCATTTCTGCATGCGCAGTGGAATCACGCAATTCCTCTACTCTGGAACATGGTTATACATGGGTTATTATTTATTATTATGACATAAAAACATAGTAAAATGACTTTTCTCCCCTCCTATATTTGTTTGACCTTTTCTTGTTACTCCCAATGCAAAGGAAACCAATGGGGATATTAGTGTCAATGCGTGATAAAATTAATTTTCTCCTCTAAAAACACATTTTTTTTACCCTTAGTGGACAGTTATTTGAGAACAAAGACTTAAAAGGGAAAAAAAACTCACAGGTTGCATCCGCGAGAAATTATCTTTCCACCCTTTACAAGAACGGCCCCAACAGGGACCTCCCAGTTGCAGGCAGCTTTTTTGGCTTCAAGCAAAGCTTCCCTCATAAACATTTCATCAGCTTTACGCTGTTCAGTTTCTAGCTTGTATGCTTCTTCCCACTCATCAAATCTGTCTTTCATAACTTCATTCGCCCTCTGAAACCTTCTTCTCTGTCTCACCTCCAGATCTTCAACCTCAGGAAATGAAATTTCACTTGAAGCTGATGAAGGAACTATTAGCTCTCTGCTTTCGGCAGTCTTTTGCAACGTTTCTTTGTTGGACACCAAATTAGTAATTCTGGTTGGCGAAACGGAATGGGACGAATTGGATGCTTCTCCCTGAAGTTGAACATCTTCTATTCTAAGCTTGTCAGATGAATGTTCATGTTGTGATCTGTTGTCATGCTTTAATTTCTCCCCAGCAATCCAAGCTTCGCTACTTGTAGTGGATTGGTGTGACGGGCACAGTCCTCCTGACCCTGAACTTGAAATCCACCGGAGTCTAACTATATCTCTGATAATATGCCATAGGGGCTGTCCTGATGATCTCTTGATTTCCGTTTTTGATGTTTCTTGAATAGATTGGTCTACCCACATTTCATCCAAACAAGTTGTGGAAACTTTTTCTTTCAATTGGGATTCTCCTAGTTCGATCTGGCTCAAAACTTTCGGGTTTTGCTGCTCGCCCTCAAGAATCAACTCCGTTTCCGTACGAATTTCAGAACTGGAAACCTCATGCCTTACTTTTTCATCCCTTATGACCACACCTTGTGTTTCTTGACTTTCTTCTTGCATTTGGTATGACCTATCTTTGGAATGTTCTGTTGGTACGGTCAGACCACTTTGTGCAGTTTCAGAAGAAAGTCTTTGTGCTGCAAAACCACTCATTGATTCAAGTTTCGAAGAACTCGACACTTGAGAAGATGAATATGCCTGAGATTTTTGTGTGTCCACGCTGTTTCCATTTTCACAACCCATCATCAATGGATGCTTTGGATGCATTGAACTGGTAGGTTGACCAGAAAGCTTTGGAGGTTCCATAATCCTCATACCTTCTCCTACACTTGTTTGCGAAGATTTCCTTTTGGATTCTAAAGATGACAAATGAAGGTTTCTCTTATATTCTTCCTGGCCTATCAACTCCGTGTTTGATTGCCTCTCAGAAATGTAAGCTCTATGTTCATCTTTAGTCACTTGAACAGTGACCTCTCCAGCTTGCTTTTGTTTCTCCTCTGTGATATCCGAAGAAGCTTCACCGATCTTTTTTCTGACCTTAGCCACTCCTTCTTTGCCAAAACTCCCTCTAACATCTAAAAATTTTTCGTGCTTTATTCGGATCTCAGACTGTTGCGTGACTTGTTCAGCTGAGGTGGACTCCCAATTTTGATCATCGCAAGCCTTATAAGAACCACCAAGTTCTTTTCCAAGCTTAATCTCATCAACACACGAAACCCTCGATTGCTTATGTGATGATTCCTTCTTCCTAACCTCATTCTCCTCAATTGAAGTGCCACCGAGCCTCTTCTCGGATTTCTTTCGCCGAAGATTGTGATCTATGTCATGAGATGCTACATAGGGTCCCACAGACGCGTCTTCCTTTCTCAAAATCAGTCCTTGTCCCTCGGAGTGACCCTCAAATGTCCTAACATGTTGCCCTACCTCACCATAATGTGAAAATTCCACATTTCTCCTTGATAATTCGGCGTGATTTTGCCCTTTCTCAATCTGCACCTCATTATCGCTTTCTAAGTCACCTCTCGAAGAAGCCGAGTAGTATGAAGAGCAGGTGGACCCCTCTCGTCTCACTTTGTTCCCGTGATCCACTACCGGAAAATCTTCCCCTGTTCCATTCATCTCCCTTTCAGTGTTACTCTTTCTTACCACCTGCTCCTTCTCTTGTCTCGGTACACAAATTTCCTTTTTCCTCTCGCTGCGCAAAAAAACCTCTTTATCCTCTTCTCTCGCCGTTCGCCTAACCAGATTTTTACCCCCCATGACCTCCCTAGCAGCTCTCCACTTCTTCTCCACTCCTCCCCCTAGTAAAACATCTTCCCCATTTACCCTCCTATGTTCTTTTCTCATCTTACTATCCTCCTCCAGCTCAGCCTCCCACTTTGTCCTTCTAACTGCACCCAATTTATCTCCTTTCTTATGAATGTGATCACTCTCAATGCCACTCCTTTCAAACTCCAACACTCTCTTCTTCCAAGAACTTCCCCTTCTCTTCTTCAAATCATCAAATTCCTCATCGACACTCTCGCTGAGCAATCCGAGCAAAACCTCAGCCTCACCAACATCACAGAAACTACCCCTCTCACTTCTTTCCTTAAATCCAGGAGACCCGAATCTCCCTTTCCCTCGCCTCTCATTCAAATAGCAAGAAGATTCATCATAACAGCACTTTCTTGCACTGCCCGAAACCGGGAAATCCGTATTACACCTATCTAAGCTGGTCAAGTAGACTCTTTTACAAGGTGACCACTGAATCAGAGAGGATTGCCTCAAACCATAGACATAACAAGTGCCTAAAGGGGGTCTATACATGGAATTTGAACAACAGCAGCATGATGAAGATGAATCGAACAATGGGTATTTGTTAAATCTGTCTATGGTACAACAGTAGGGATTGTCGTTTGAAGAAAAACAAACACACCCTTTACATTTTAAGGAGAGAGTTGAGCTTACACAGGTGTGGTACATGGCTTATTCCGTACATATATGAACTGAGAGAGAATCCGGTGAAGAGAGACGCCGGGAATTGAGCGATGGGAGAGTTGGGATTTCTTGATTTGGGAAAATTGATGTCAATGCAGAGTCCAAAATTGCTTCCTGAAATGATCTGATGAGACCAACACAAATCTTGTTTGCCACAAACACGGGTTAGTATTCTTAGTAACATGGAGCCCCAACAAGTCTTCAATAGATACTTGAAATTTCCCAAAAAAAAAAAAAAGTGAAAATACCCAATCAAAAAAATACCAAACTAAAAAATTAAAAATATACTTGAAAAGAATTGAACCGATGATTGGTAGGATATTTGAGAAAGGTATAAATATCGAACATATATACTACAGTAATAAATTACAAAATAAAAATCTTTATTTATTTGTACATTTCATAATAAATTTAATTTGAAAAGTTTGTCCAAATTTTATTATATGCAAATTATACTTTTATTTGAATTTTAATTTTTTATAGATCAATATAAAAATATTGACAATCATTTAAAATATTATTTTATTATCATTTGTTCTTCAGTTTGTGTAATACTTCCTCCGTCCCAAAAAGTTTTACACATTATGACTAAAGTGGAAATTAAGAGAAGGATAATTTTGTGTTGACTTTCCAAAAATAATCTTGATTTGATGTGTAAAAGTAGGATGAGATGTGTAGGTTATAAGGAAAAATGTATGATGTGATAGGTAGGGTTTGAAAAAATAAGGGGTAAAAGTGGTTTTTTAATAGAAATGGGTAGGAGATTATGATACGCAATTTTTTTGAAAGGTAGGACGGAGGGAATATAAATTAAGTTTCGTACGCATTTCTTGTATTTAGTTATTCATTTTTTATGGTTTTTTGTTTAAATATAATATTTTTAAAGGCTTTTTTTTAAGTATAAACTAAGTACGTATATATTTATTCTAATTTGTATCAAAATTGATATCTAACCATCATGAATCATATATTTTGAGGTCGGTATTAGGGCGACATAAATTTTCATACTGAAACGATATATTTTGTACGGTATCAAAAAGAATACATTATATTTCGATATATATTATACATTTCGTATTTTAACCTCGATTTGGGGAAAAAATACATTGTATTTTAATATAAAATTAATATCAATAATTTCTTTTTAAATCGTAATTTTGAAATGTTAAATTTTTAGAAAATATATTTGTGTAAATATATATAATTATATAATAATTTTGAAATTATTACATTAGACTTAAGAGATTGTAAATTAAATAGTCGAAGACAAAAAACATTTCCAAACGTAGGAAGTTACATTTATACTTTAGGATTTAATTTTGATATAAATATGCTTATCCTATCAATATTGAAAGGAGAATTTTCTTAAATAGCACTAAAACATAATGACTTTTCCTAAATAGCATCACATGTATTTTTCTTCCCAATGTAACATTTTTAGTCATTATGCATTAGTCATTATTTAAGTAAATATTCGTCATCACTGGACATTATGGACATTTTAAATGCTATTTAGCGAATAAAACAATCTAAATGTTATTTAGGGAAATGACTTAAGTCTTAGTACTATTTAATCCAAATATTTCATATTGAAAATCCTACTCCATGTTACTTTTTATAAATTTAAAAACATAGCAGAACAAAAAATCTCAAATGTATAAAAAATACAAATTAAAATTTATTTACTTTGATAATCCTATGCAACTTGTACTTTAGATAAAATTATTCATGTTTCATTGATAGTTACTCGCTTCGTCCCAATTTAATCCCCTATTTTGATGTATAATGTTTTACTAAAATAATTTTCAATACAATCTTTTAGATAATTCGAACTAAATTAAAAACAAACTTTACATACTAAAGAATTATATCAAAAGATCTACGAAACAAGATGTGACTTAACTATATTATTTTATCAAATTTTTAACAAAAAAAAAGAAAAAAAATAAGATTTATCTTATGAATAGCAAATATCCAATTTAATTTGAGGTGAAGGTAGTATTGTAAATCAACAAAATACATCAATCAAATGGTCAAAAGTAAGACTTTTTATTTTACATATTTTTAAAGAACAAAATAATTTTCAATATATCAAAGATTCACTATTTTTTTACTGTAGGATATGATGAAATAATGTACCCCGAGTAGAATAGATCGTTAAACTTATGTACTTTTAATAGGAAAATAGTAATTAGTCAATATAACTTTTGACTCTCCTCATGGATCATCCAAAAACAATCCTTCTATGTCTTAAACATAAAGGTAAAGCTACATACCCGGAGTATGTGTTTACTTGTGGTTTTTGAGGGATCGAATAGGTTATTGTTGCTTTAAAAAAAAATCAAAATGTTCAAAAATAAGGACTAGACCAGACTACTCGATCCAAAAGGTCACTTATTTTTTACGAAGACCAGATTAGTTTGTACTGATTTTGAAAATGATCGTAGCAATTCTATCCTAAATAATATCAGTTTTTTCAAGAAATCAGTTCAATCCGAATAATCTAGTCTTTTTGATCATCTCTAAGTCAAACTATCCGAACAAGTGTTTTTTTAGTGTTTTAAATAACAAAACTAATAAAATCCCACTAAAAAATAAGGCGCGAAGAAGGTGTTTACACACGTTTTCTTTACTTGAAAGTAGAGAAACTGTGTCTAAGACACCTAACTCAAGCAGAGCTAGCAAAAACCAACAAAGGTGATACAAAGTGCAAACAAAGTAGAAGTAAAGAGCAAACTAAGGACAAAGAAAGGCTCACATGGACAAAAACTCAAGAAGCAAACTAAGTCTACCTCTCCCCTACTCCCACCCACTACCACGAACCCCTCCACATCGAGGCTTCTGCAGTTCTTTCTCCCTTCACATTCCCAAACCAATCCTACCTAACCTCGTTTGCCCATACATCATGAACTTCACATATGCAAGGTGTTTTAACCGCCCAAAGCATAGTCACTCTGACTACAGATCGACAGAAGCTAAAATGTTTCATTTGATTTCCTATTGAATAACAACATTTAAAAGAAGTGCATTACATCATTCCCAAGTGTACAAAACAAGCTTCCAAACTTGTACTAGGCATGAGTCACATGACAATTTAAGATCACTCCAATGTGAATGGCAAAAATTAAATAGTTTGAGTTCAGCATGCTCCACAAATACCTCTATCCTCAAATCAGAGCAAGGATAATCACAGTACACAAAATTGGTGTGCGATTATGGTTGCGTTGTATCTTTGTCACGTCTGCAACGTAACCCCTTTTACTACCACAACTGACATAGAATGAAACGAGTCTTTTACTCACAAAATTAGTCGTATTGTTTCCCTCCATTAGGCAAACAGCAAAATATTCAGATGCAGTTAAAAGTAATAAGTCATACATGAATGAGAGCACAAGATTTTTTTATGCATTTTTGCCTACGGTGGGAAGATCAGTGACTTTGCCCACAGCAACAGTTTTCCCTGCAAGAAAAAATAAGGCGAAGAAAGTCATGATGTATTATTTACACACACACACACATTATAGGGAACAAAAAAGAATAAGTTCCAAACCCTCTGTTCGAAGAGTGAATCTTCCGAGCTGGGAAAAATCATTGAACTTCTCAATGCATATCATATTATTCACCTGGGAAGAGGCAGTAAAAGCACAAAATTAATACGGTATAACAAAATCAACAGACAATTTAGCAGAGGGAATGAAAAAGCAAAGGGGGGACTCAAATTTATGAAAAACTGCTTCGGCAAAATTAGATTGCAATAAATCTTCAATGACACATCAACAAGAAGTTACATTAAGCTACTTCGCATTCACTTTTTTGCACAATATAAGAAGACCACAGAGCAGAAATCGTGCTGTTAAGAAGCCAACCTGAATGAGACATACAACAAAAGCACCGTTCTTAACAAAGAGTGGTTTCCTTTTCTTAGGTTCCTTTGTTTTTGGATCAATTTCTTTTATTAAATCTACGATTTCACATTCCTCAACAACCGAGTGAATGTGCAACACAGCCTTGTAACCAGCGGTAAAAATTGCCTGAAAACCAAAACAGAGCAAATATATCTACCCAATTAACCTAGTTACTAACAAGCAAACAAGAGAATAAAAATGCCAAGGTAATGTTCAGTTCATACATTATCCAGCAACTCCTTGTTTGACAAGTGCGCAACAAACTCAGTAACAGCAGGGACTGGCCTTACTGCACCAAGACAAAGATCCATTTCAGTAAAAATCAACACACGATTATATAGGTATAAAAAAACATAATGATAACTTGATGAACCCCATCCATATAAGCATAACAATAGACAAATTGAGCAAACCCTGTCCACACATAAAGCTTTGAAAATTGAAAAAGTAGACTAAGCAAAGAAAATAGTTGAATGGTATTTACCAACACTGCATAAAACAAAGCCTGATAAGATATCATCTTCCTCAATCCCAGATACTCGGACTCGTAAGTTCTCCCCAGGCCCCGCTTCTCGCACTTTATCTTCATCAATGAATATGGCAAGAACCTTAACAGGAGCCTTAAGAAGCAAAAGAAATGAAAACTCTGAGATGGTACCACAAAATGAGATTAATATATTCACTCTTTTAAGATAATTATATGTTCATGAATCATGAAAAGCACCTTATTGGGCATCACCAACAGACTGTCACCCTCACGTACAGTACCAGATTCAACTTTACCCATAACAACTGTTCCCATATCTTTAAATTTATCAATTATAGGCATTCTACAAATAAATACACAAAGAGTTAGTAGAGATCCTCAAAACCATATAAGATATGCAAAGTTTGTACAGCAAAAGGAAACACGCGACATACAACACAGTAAGATCCTGTTGGGATTTTAAGTGCGTAAGACACTGAAAATATTGCGAACGCCAGAAAAATGAGAGAATCACACAAGAAGGATATATGAGAGAAAAATTATATTTCCACTATTTCAGGACAATATACAAAAAAGTCTCCCCCTCCTTGCAAGGCTAAATTCCACACACTCATTAACTGACTGTCACACTCACCCAAACACACCAAGACTCCTTGGATATTCCCGGTGGAATTCTTGTGTAGAACCTTCTTGGTTTCATTTCTCTCTCTAGGTGAGTGATAAACTACACACACTCCATGCGTACTTCATGACCATTAAATAGCCAAACACAATCACACATACCAAAGAGGTCAAGAGTGATTGTCAATTTCCTTTTGATTTCCTACGCATGCAAAATCCCCAAAAGATCATTGCAAATCCATCTTTTGACTTTAGCTAAAAACTTAGCCGTAAAGAATGAAACCCAAAGTGGCAATGTGTCACTGCCTTTGTTTACCATTTGTCTTTTTTTTTCTTCTTTCTTTTTCTTTTTATTGAATATTTAATCAATTTCCCAACGAGTCCCACGAGCCACAAGTGGGGTCTGGCAAATGCTACAAGACTATATCCAAATTAGCTAAACAACAAACTGCTGAAAAGCATTCTACACTTCTATTGGAAATCTGACAGTGGCCAAAACAAACACAAAATGCATGAGTAACCACAAAGACTACTGGCAAACTTTCTAACAGGAGATATGAAAGTTGGTAAGTGGCCAAATAGGGGGGAAGAACTATTACCTGAAAGGACCGTTCGGATCACGAGGTGGGACTTCAACCGCATCAAGAGCTTCAAATAGACACGGGCCATTCCACCACGGACAAACACTCTTATCTACTCGAGTTTTCAGATTTGAACCCAAAAGCCCAGAAATGGGAAGAAATTGAACATCTATAAATTTTAGAAAAAAAAAGTTTAGAGTAGAAATTGAATTGATAAATTTTGCAATGATGATTCTAAGCGAATCTAGTTTCGTTATTTACACTAAAATAAATACATAAGAGTATGAAACAAATTAATCACAACAGAAAATCTTTGCGCGAAGGGATTTTATCCAATTCTGGACATTGGAAATATTTGACTGGTATAGAGACTGCAGCCTTTAAGTGTGGGAGACTTATAGAGAAGTCAGAGTATGTTCAAAAGAACATGGACTGAAAGTATGTCAACATTACAACATTGGGCTTAATGAATTACAAAATGATCAAAAGAGGTATATTTAGTAAAAGTGTGGCTATTGTTGTTAATGATGTTAATGATATCAAAATGTGTAACATCTTAGTAAAACAAAACAATATGTGTGAGTTATGCACTTTTAAGTTTTAATAATACTTAATGAGACAACCCTTGCATCAGTCCAAAAAAGAATCTGAATCCGAAGTAGCAAATACTCAATTTCATATGGAAATCTAGAAAAGGGTTCTAATACGAGCCGAAGCACATATCAGAGAGGGCCGGCATAGAAAGGAACTATTGTTGTTTGGTGTAACAACTGCCAAAACTTTTACCTTTCAAAAGTAAAAGGTCCACCTACAAGGCTGCGACCTCAACCTTAAAGATGAAAACATAAGTGTGTCAAAAAGATGATGAATTGAAATCTAAAGAGAATTACAAAGATCCATTGAAGAGACGTCATTTAAGTTAGAAGAGGGATAGTATTGACTTGATGAATGATGACATAGAAGATGATTATTAGACAGTTCATATCTGTGTAGAATATTATGAAGATTGAAATTTATTAAGCTTCACATTTCTTTAATTATTTATACGGTTTTATACTTCTCATTCCCATATAAAGGATAATGTTCCTGTAGGTTACTTTGTCCCAATAAAATAGTACTACCTGAACAAAAGAGGCTGGATTACATCATATTGAATGTTTTATTATTATAATACTACGTAAAAAGCATCATAAATAGGTTGACTATGTTAAATGTAGTTAAGACAACAATTAGAATTAAAGATATAGGTATATTGGAGTATTTATAATAGATTTACCTTCTTAAATTAAAATGATGTACCATTGTTGATAAGGGTTCTTTATGGTGTTTATGGGGCGGGATGATATATAACAGTTTTGTTTGGATGGTTTGGAAAAGCCACAATAATATTTTATCTTCCATTACAGCACTGGATTACACAAGTGAAGATAAAAGATCTCTATTAAATGCTAACCCTTCTTCTTATATCCAGACGAATTCAGAAATGGTGTCATTTTCTCCACGATTTTATCATACCTGAAAAGATATAATTCCAGTATGAAAATGGAAAAAAAATAAAAGAACTGAAAAACAATCACACTGAGAAACACCATTCAAAGAAGCACCTTTCTTTTGACCAGTTCACAGTAGGTTCATCCATTTTATTCACAGCAATGAGGAGCTTTGTAACCCCTAGAGTCTTTGCAAGTAGAACATGCTCGCTTGTTTGTCCACCTTTTTCAAATCCAGTTTCAAACTCGCCCTTCCTCGCAGATATCACCTAAATTACAAGGCAAAGTAATTGTTCAGAACAACGATCAAATGACTCCACACTTTCTGGCGTCGTGCTAGAGAGGTCTGGTAAAAGGTGCCAGGTCAAACATGGTTGGATTCAACTCAACACCCACTACAACTCCCGTGCTTGGACCAACACCAAATTCCGCAGTTTAACTATAGAAAAATTAGTCCAAAGTGTGTAAAAGAATATTCATTTTTCCTAACTTTTAAGTATTAACAACATCTTTTTGCAAACTGTGATAGCTAAACTATGGAACTCAAAGGTTGTCAAAAGATGAATGTTCAGATGATTCCAACCATATCCTTCCCAGAACCAATCACCGGAGCTTGGCTCCGACATGATGCCGGAATGGAAGGAGTCCGCGGATCCCCCCTCTCCCCAAAACAAATGGTTTTTTTCATATTTTAAAAAGTAAATTCATTCAAAATAGAGACAATCCATTCATACTGAACTCTAGTTTCCTGGCATCAATAAGCCTTACCAGCACACCTATATCAGCTTGAGAAGCTCCACTAATCATATTGGGTACATAACTCTTGTGCCCCTGGAGAAAATGGAATTAGAAATAGCAGGCCATGTGAAGCAAGGGCCAAAATGAATTTGAAACAGCTAGTGAATGCAAATGTAACAGAGCAACTTGTGAATCTTTGAAACTAACAAATCTCCAACACATAAATAGCATTTTAAAAGAAAGTAAAACCCAAAAAAAACATAAGCCATTGCTTGGGGAGTTTACCGGAGCATCCAAAATAGTAAATCTTGTAGTTTCTGTTTCAAAGCGTGCTCTTCCAACTTCAACAGTAATCCCCTACACATCAAATTACAATCACCAATAATGAAATATCCCCCCTCAAGAAATTATCTTTAGCAAACAACGTAAAGATGGAAGGTTATGTTCTATTATTCTATGTTTCATTTTTGAATTTCATTTCATTGTTCCTTCCAAAGAAGATAATGAGCAGCAACAATATTTACGTGAATATTTGCAACTAATTTCTTTTTGCATGAATTTATATTACTCCATATTAACTAATTTTAAATAATTATTTGATTTTAAATTTCATGCCACCAGCCCCAACATAGTTGGGATTAAGGAGTTCAATAATGATGATGATAATGAAACTATAGCACCAAAACCATGAGCTAAAACGTAAAATTGAACATGATTTTTTTTATTATGGAGTTACTAATAAACAAGAGAGTACCTTATCCCTCTCTTCTTCATTTGTGTCCATAATATATGCCATATACCTAATATGATCAAAAAAAGAAATGCAGGTCAATATTCTAAGCAATCATAAAAGGATTGCTAAATTAAGCCAAACAAAACTTTCCAAGACTGTTCACTACATTAAATGATTGCTAAGAGACACAACAATTTAGCCAAGTAATTGAAACATGCAAGAAAGACTAACCAGCTCTCTCTACTTTTATCCTTTGCTTCCTTCTCATACTTCTGGATCGTACGATCATCTACTTGTCCACTAAGGAACAATATCTGTCCTCCAATGGTTGATTTTCCGGCATCTAAAGGCATGAAAGAAAGAGGAAAGGTAAAAAAAAAAGTGCATCACAAAGTTAAGAAATTATGTAAAGATTCCAAATCCAAGTTGTAGCTTGCAATCTACATTGCAAAACTATCTGCAAACGCTTGTGCATTTGGCGGGATCACTTTTTCCATGTAACCGACAGATGTTCATTTAGAAAAGAGTAACATCAATAATTGTTAGGTAGAGCATCCACATAATTTCCAACACACATACACGCACACACAAAGAGAGAAAACAATCACATACCAACATGCCCTATGAATACGACATTCAGGGGACGCTTTTTGGGGATTGCGGTTTCATCATCTTGAACAGATGCTTTCTTTTCTTGTTCTGTAAGAAATACAAAATGGGATGAAAACATAAAATTTATTGTCAAGAAAAGGTAAATATTCAGTGCTAGACCATATCAATGTGTGTTTAAAGGATGCGGGAACAACACTGTGCTAACTTTCACACTCAGTTGAAATTAATTGGTTGGAGTATGATACAAAAAACAAAACAGAGGAAACTGGACACAAAACATTGTGTGAAATCTTTATAATGAATGAAATAACATAAGAAATACAGCTTAAGCCGAACATAGAATAATAATTTAATCAAGATAACCTCTCGTAGCTCACGTGAGGGGCGAGCTTTAAAAATAGCTCCAAATAAAAATAAGATGAGATATTTGAGTAACTAATAAAGCTAACCCAGCAAACTAAACCCGTACCACACAAGACGAATATAAAAGGCTATTTATGGAAAGATGTGTATAGAATGATTGTAACTTCATTCAGATAGTATGCAATATCCCCATAACCCCCCACATCCACCCCCAAAAACATAAACCAGACAACATTTTGCTTTTTTAACACAATTTAAAAACATATATCTGAATAATCAGTTAACAAGAAAACAAATATTCAATTGCAGACCTTCTATAGAGCCTTTGGGCTCAATATAGATTGGTCTTGAGTTCACTTGTGGCTCCTTTACAACTTCTATAACAATCAAATGCAAGCACATTGCAGAATCCTTTTGTGTGGATAGAAAATATAATAGCACATAGAGTGATGCTTCCATCCAGAAAACTTAAGCTACAAATTATAAACTTTAGTTCTGAAAATATCAAATCTACAAAGAATAGCACTAAAGAATAGCCAATAAGCAAAATAGAGAATTGTAGTCTCTACCATAGTTACCGGGCAACAAGTCAAGTCGAGAAGGTGAAGACGAGACTAGTGGACTAGTCGACAAATCACAATTAGTAATGAAATTATTAACATTATATATATCTTCATTCACCAAAGATAACTATATATATTTATATGATGAAATATCATTACCAAAAAAATATTATTTTTAAAGGTAGCACATAAACTCACATAACGAAGGTTACATAAAGAAAAAAATACCCTTCAATCTTCAAAACCAAGAAACCAACAAAGATAACAAGCACAAAAACAACAGGTTGAAACATTGAAAACTTGTCATTAAAAGAGCTAAAGTAAAATAAATAATCCACCGTTAACGAAATCATGATTAAAAAAACTGCTAATTATCTCGACAATTGAAAGAGTACTTAAAGAAAAACAATATACTTCACTGGTAAAGAATTAAAGGTAAAGTGATTTAACCCATGGAGGAAAACATACCCATGGCGGATGAGAGAGAGCCGTCTGGAGAAGATGATGAGAAGAATCGTTGGAATCGGGGATGACACTGGAAGAGGAGGCTTCAGTTCGCGATGAACGAGATTCGGGATCGGGGATGACACTCTTTCTCCTGACACGCTGCAAATTAAGCCCACTTCACTTCTAACTTAATTTTTCTACTTTTTTTTTATTTTTATTAAAATTAGATTAGATCAGATTCAATTAAAAATTATTATTATCATCTTTATTATTTTCAATTTCATACTTTTTACTTGTTTTACTTAATACAATTCTTTCAAAAAATAAATTTGAGGTTCAATGAGTGGGATTGAAGAGAATATATGAGAGTGTAACATTTTATGCAATGTATTATTTATAGCATACAGCGTTTTTTGTCAAGCACATCTAGCGTGTAATATTACTCCGTATTATACAAGATGCAGAAAAATGTATTATTTCTTTGCTTAACATTGATATTTTATAAGGATGACATATTTTAATAAAAATACTATTTCTTCTCTATATTGATTATCTAAATTTAATTACTTTTTAATGTATATATGAATTAAAAATTTATTCTAATGTATATACGAACTAATCATTAAAATATTAAATAAATATTCTTATTACAGTAAAAAAATAATATAAAATAAAAAAAATATTTATATTATGATATGAATTATCATAACAATTTTCAAAAGTTATTATAATGTCAGATCAAATTATTGATTTGAATTTTAAATCAAATCATAATTAATCAGATCAGATTAGATCAGATACAACCAGATCAAATCACATCAGATCAAATCAGATCTGATCACATCCAATTAAATCAGATCAGATTAGAGCTACAAAAATTCAGATCAGATCATAAAAAACAAGTTGAACGAAACAGAGCCTAAACCATAAGCCGAATAGGGTTTTAAAAAATAATCAAAATCCTTACAATTTTACAATTTTATTTAGAATAGTAATGCTAATAAGTTTAGATAAAGAAAAATACCTAAATGTCCTCCACTTAACAACGATTTAACGAACATATTTGACAGAGCTATGACTACTAATGGAAAAAATCTCAATCATAAAATGCCACCTAGGTATTTTGTGTTTACTGAAGAAGGTACATATTATCAGCTCATACAACCTCAACCAATGGCGGATCCAGAAAATTTTTCATCCGAGGCAAATTTGGTCAGCACCAATATAATGTATTAGTTTTTCCGTTTTGAAAATTTCTCCATTTTTGTATATACGGATATTATGTACAAGTCTTTACAATATTTTACCTTATTTAAGCACAATTTCAAAAAATAATCTCTGTAAAAAATAAAAAAAATATAATAGTCATATTTTTAAGACCTAATTTTTTTGTAATAATTTGCTTTCTTTAATTTACTCATATAGTCTTATAATCCTATTCTCTAACAAATTCAATTTTCAACAATAATTAACAAAATAACAGATTACCCATAACTGACATAAGCTAATTTTTAGACCAAAAGGGGAAAAAAAAAGAAATACCTGACAACTTGATAAGAAAAAGAAGTAAGAACATGGAAAGAGCGATCTCTGCAGCTCTGCTTCGTGATCCATGCACGGCGGCACGGCACAATTATTGGGCAAATTTGGCCCAATAAATTGTACAAGCTCTAGAGATGAAGACGTAAATAAATTTGCATGATGATTGATGAAATTAGATGGAATATGAAAAATGGCCTTAAACTTTTTTTCAACATCTTCATAGTGATTTAAATGGTGCTTACAAAATTACAACCTTCACATGAATCTTGCACACAGTCTGTACAAGAACAAGTTTATGGCACCCATCTCTCACACTGCCTTTCATTCCACTTTCTCCCATATATATAAACACCCGTTATTGTTCAATGTCCGCGGATATCCGTGAGACGGTTGGAGTGAAAGGTGGGTTGAGAGTTGGGGTGACTTTAGCATTTTCCATCTGTACATAATACTGCAAGATGAACACACTTAGTTTACAGACATTTACATCCAAAACCAACTTAGTTTCCCTAGTCAGAAATGTAATGTTTTGGTTCAAAACCTGAGATTTGATTGCTCGTTACGAACGATGATCTTTCCACTGTTCAACTTCACGGAGCATATCTAGAGCAGCGAAATCCCTCTTCTTATCAGGTTGTTTTTTCGCCGAGTTCAAAGATTCTGATGTTTGGAGTCCACAATGCGATTCAGGATAGGAAACTGTTAAACCATGTCCTCCTTTCAGAGCCTTGGCCAAATATAATCGGAGACCTGTCCACATAAATGCAGTAGTTAACTTTACTAGCTATGCACTATCTTGAATACTATTAAGAAATACGGAGTATATAAATAGAGTAGCATTCGTCAGCATATTCTGCCTATTGGCAAGGCATCTACTTGTCTCTGACTTTCTTTTTTTCTGAAATTGATTTTACCATAAGTTTTTCCTATCCCGCGCGTCCATTGCCAATATAGCTAAAAGAGTCATTGTTGACAATGTTTTGATTACGGGCGCAGAATGGACTACATAAAAATGGCACATTAAACTTCGCTTGCATGTTAGCCAGTAAATGCAACAATGCATCTAGGGTCTAATGGAAAAAGTCTCTGATTTCACAAGGATAAGACTGCGTACATCTTGACTCCCCCACTTCCCACCCCCAAAAGACCCCAACAGAGTTGGGATTTTACAGGGTTGTTTTTTCTATTCAGCCATTTCTGGCAGATCACCCTTACCAAACAGGCTCTTATTCTCTCTGCGCGCAAAGATAGGCCCGTATGCAGTTGGATAAGAACAATTAATTTCATCTTAATTTGAGACAGAGTGAGTGTTCGTTTGGAGTGCAAACAAAAAATTAGGATCGAAAACACAACTTTTTGGGGGAAGCAGTAATTTTTAGATGTTTACTAACTTTGATTTAGTCTTGGATGCATCAATTGTGGGCATTGGCCATTGAAGTGACTTGCAGAGACTGAAAAGTGAAGTCCATGGTCCCTGCTTTTACTATTTTTGTTTATAGGCAGAATTTCTGCAAAAGAAAATTATTGGACAGCTTAGAGACTCATTGTGGATAGTACTTTCATTCCAGGGCGTAATAAATTCAAGGATATACGTGGATTTCAGTTCCAATTTATGATACTTCATCATTAAACACTTTTGTTAATTATGCACGTGCACACCCGAAAAGTTTACAATGTCGAATAAGCAAGGTTCCATATGTCACTTGGCTTTACGAGAATTACACAAAAAATTGAAAGTTGACTTAAGTAATGATTCTTTTCTGGGGTTACATCTGTACATTTTAGCACAAGTACACTAGGGAGAATTTAAAAAAAGGAGAGGTTTAAAGTAAACCTTCAAGTGTTTGAGTAGACAAAGAAAGGCCTCCCCGTTTGCATCCTTTCAGCTGTCCAAGTTCCTCGGCAACCAACAAGCCATCTTCCAACTGCACTGTAAAGAAGTAATTTGGAACCCTTGTGGGATTTTTACTGAGTTGTTATTGTTTTTCTATTACATAAACACTAGGAAATATGTATGTTACATAGTATTAAAAGGTCATAGTCAAATTTGACTTTGCTTAGTATTTTTCATGACAAAAACAAACATAAATAACATTTTCTGTTTGTGGTTTCTTTTTATGATTATCACACTAGTTGGAGTAACATATCTCTTGTTATGAGATGGGGGTTACAAGTTACTCGGCCAGGATTCTGTCACAGATCAAAGATTTGATTCAATGGAGCACATGGTCCTTCCATATGCATATTTACACAAGCTTTTACTGATCTCAGTGGCAAGTCAAGAAAGCTTCTAGTAAAGAAACTGCAATACTAACCTTAGAAAATTCTGCCGATAAATCTCTGCAAACTAATCCTGAGCAGTGTCCTTACCTTGACTGAAACTCTGTGCATGAACCCAAAAGAATGGAAACCGTATCATTCCAAATCAGGCTCAAGCTCAAACAGCCTCATCAATTTGGTGAGAGTCTTCAACGACAGATATATCTCCTCCTTCTGTGGATGCTTTCCATCTTTAACCATAAAAACATGAACCTGACTCTGTATCTCAATCCAACTGCAACCAGGCTGCTTAACAACCCCACGCTCCCTCATCAGTTTACGTACTCTTGTAACGTCTTTCCAGTGCCCTCTCTCTGCATACATGTTTGATAAAAGGACATAGGGACCTGAGTTTTCAGGGTCAATCTCCAGAAGCTTCTCAGCTATGTGCATACCCAACTCTACGTCGCCGTGGGTTTTACAAGCAGAGAGCAAACATCCCCACACAACACTGTCTGGAGACATTGGCATTGATTCTATCAAACTCCTTGCTTCATCTAGACAACCGGCCCTACCAAGTAAATCGACCATGCATGTGTAGTGGTCTTTCAGAGGTTCCAATTCATACTTCCATCCCATAGAATGAAAATAACGACGACCCTCTTCAACAAGTCCCGCGTGGCTGCACGCGCAAAGAACGCCGATAAATGTGACATGATCTGGTTTCTCTCCCAACATCAACATATCATTGAAGATCTCAAGAGCTTCAATTGCTTTCCCATTTTGTGCAAACCCCACTATTGTTGTATTCCATGAAACCCAATCTCTTTCGATCATGTTTTCGAAAACACGTCGACCGTCTTCAGCCGATCCACATTTCATATACATGTCTATCAAAGCATTCCCAACAAAAACATCGGGCTCCGGCCCATGTTGGAACCGAAAACCGTGTTTCAAAACATGTGCATGAGCTTGCCTTCCGAGTCTAAGATCGGACAGATTTGAACATGCGTTTAGGAGGTTCCCAAAAGTGTAATGCGTTGGCCAAACACTCTCCCGTTTTAACAAAACAAAGAGATTTAAAGCCTCCTCATTTTCTCCATTCTGGGTATATCCAGCTATGAGGGCATTCCAAGACACCACATTCTTTTCCATCATCCCAAGAAACATTGCTCTAGCCGCCTTCACACTTGAAGACCTTGCATAACCACTTACCATTGAGGTATGAGACACCACACTCCTTACGGGCATCTCATCAAAGATCTGTCTTGCCTCATTGATCTTGCCACACTTTGCATAAAAATCCACCAAAGCATTGCTTATGATGAGGTCATCTCTGAACTTATGAACCTTGACAACTCGGCCATGCATTTCACGGCCTTCTCTGAGTAAGGCCAAGCTTGCACAAGCACTTATGGAGCTTGCCAAGGTCATCTCATCCGGTTCAACCCCACTATGCATCATCATGACTAAAATCTCAAGTGCCCTACTTGCCGGCCCATTTTGTTCATAACAAGTGATCAAACTATTCCACGAAACCACATTGGGCTCCCTCATATCATCAAAGACCTTCTGAGCACACTCCACACTTCCACATTTCGAGTACATATCAATGAGTGCGGAGCCCACGCAAACATCAAGCGAGTATTTTGACTTGACCACGGAAGCATGGATTTGAGCACCCACAGTCAAGTCCCTAAGCCCAGCAGTAGCACTGAGGGCACTACCATACGAGTACCCATTCAAAACAAAGTCGTCCCTGTGCATCCTCACAAAATATTCCACAGACAAATCAAACATTTCACACTGGGCAAAGCTCGAAACCATCAAGTTCCACGAGCACTGATCACGATCCAGCATCAGCCCGAACAGCTCCTCGGCCTCATCTAGGAGTCCAGAAGCTGCGAGGGCATTGATCATGGAGTTCCAAGTGAAGGTGTTCTTTTCAGGCATTTTATCGAACACCTTGCGGGCGTCCGGAAGGCGGCGACATTTCCCATACGCGTCGATGAGCCGGTTGCTGATGAAGACCTCGTGGATGAAGTTGCTCTTCAGGACCCGCCCGTGCACTGCACGCGCTGCCAATGGTGACCTGGTAGCGATGCAATGATCCAAAAGCTTCGCCAGGAGCGTAGAGTTCGGGTGGAAAATGTCAGTGCTCGCGGTTTGTTTGAGACTTGAGAAACAAATCTTGGTTTTTGCCATGAAAAAAAAAGAATGATAACTAGGCTCCAAAGAAGTAATGAGCTTTGAATAAAGATATTATTGATCGAATTTGAAATTACCCGCCAAATACAAAAGCGAATTTGAATATAATCTGATTGGCCTGTGATTTTTTAGTATGAAATAATTAATTTCGTCCCAAATATCCATCCAATTTTGCCTTTGTGTACTCAATCAAATTTGAAATTTAACTTTCAATTTAAAAAAATTTACATTGTACATTTATCAGATAAAACAATATTTTAAAACTTTTTATAAGATAAATAAAATAAAATTATTTCTTATACCAATATCTAATTCAGATTTTGTTTAATTAATGGTCAAAATTTATCAATTTTGATTGTAAGAGAACATACAAATATTCAAAAACAGAGGTAATATGAAGTTATAATATCATGTTATCGTATTTTTCCTTCTGTTAACTCCATTTTATTTATATATAAAGTGGAGGGGTAATCTTACACTATTAAATTAATGTAAAATTGTTACATCAATTCAATTGATCCGAAAGTCAACATGTTTTAAAAAAAGACCGTAACTCGTGTTGAGTGACAATGATGATTCTAAATTTGTTCTCATTGGCTATATGTTTGGTATTAGCTCCAGCGTTTTCTATGGTAAATTACACCATTAAGAGTTTATCTAAAATGCTAACATAAATTAGTAAGGACTAGGCCATTATATATCTAATTAATTACCTCATCTTCACCTTCATCATTGCATGTTTGTCATAACAACAAATCCACTAGTACTACTACTTACAACTGACAAAAGCTTCACTTCTATCTTAGCTCTCACTACAGAGACACTCAGTAGATCAGCCCAGGTTAGGTACAACCAAACAGCCAATTCATAACACCCAAAAACCAGCTTTGTTTTCAGTGTTCTGGTTCAAAGATTTCACTGACTCGAACGCTCTTTACGAATGAAAATCTTGCCCTGTCGCTCAAGTTCAAGGAGCATGGAGAGAGCAGCAGAATCTGCAGAGCTCTTCTTGTCAGGTTGTTTTTCACCCAAGACTTCAACCACTCCACTGTTTGGAATTGTCAATGTGATTCGCGATTCGAAACTGCTAAACCCTGTCCTCTTTTCAGACCCCTTGCCAAATTCAATTAGAGACCTGTCCACATAAATGCAGCAGTTCATTAGTTATGCACCATCTTTGAATGTGTGCATCAGACCTGGGAAAAATTGACTCCCTCATATTTTTCCCCAAGACCCGACCCGAAAATGCTGGATTTTGAATAAAGATTTTGTTAATCGAACCTGAAGATGACCAGCTTTAATGGGTCAAACGAAGATTTCGTTATTTATATCTCTGAAATTGATTTTACCATATGTTTTTTAGCCCTTTCTGCCAAATAACTCTTACAAAACTGGCTCTTGTTCACTCTGTCCCACAAAGATAGGCTCATACGCAGTTGCGCATGGAACAATTAATTTCATCTTTGTGTGCGATGGAGAAGAAACAATAATTGGAAAATTGTTTTTTTTTGGGGGGGGCTGAAGTAGTAATTTTCAGGGATTTACTCACGTCGATTTACTCTCGGTTGCATCAATTGTGGGCATTGGCCATTGAAGCGACTTGCAGAGGTTGAAAAGTGAAGACCTTGGTCCTCCCTTTTTCATGTTTATTGGTGGAATTACTGCAAGAGAAAATAAATAAACAGCTTAGAGTCTCAATGAACAAAGCCAAAAACATCATAGCATATCATATATTCATATTATTATGTTTATAGATAATCCAACAAAATGGTTGATCCATGCTTTTGATTTTCATGACTAGTTGGTAAAGTTCAAGTGGAGGAGATATCAATCCCTATGAGAAACACGTAACCTCGTACCTCGAAGACTGGTGTCTGATTTGCAAGGATTGCTGTTGCCATTAGTGGTTAACAAGGGAGCCGCTGCCGCTAAAGGAACAGTAACATCATCCGCAGTCTCTGGTCTATTCTTCTTTGATGAGACTCCTCTACTCTGTAATCAAAACTAGAGTAGTTAGGTACAACCTTTTACTCTTTAGTCAACTCCATCAACATATGAGCTTTGTTATGAATGGGTTTCTTTACACTTTTAAAACTTGTTTGGAGTCATTGACTAAGGACTCGTTTGGGAACAACAATTGTGATTAGCTTCAGTGTTTTAGATATTTCTTTAATGATGAAGATAAACTTTCAAAATGCTAACGCTAAAAGTTGCCGTTGGATAGCAATTATTAAATGTTAAAGCTAATGCCAAACGGAGCCTAAACCCACTTGCCACTTGGCTTTGCAAAACTTTTACTAACAATGGAAGTTCAATTGAAAACCCAGATTCTTTTTTGGGACAATAAAAGTTGAAAAATACTCTCGTTGGGATGTGTGAGGAGTACATGTTAGCACAAGCATACTAGAAAGAAATGAAAAAAATGAGGACATTTCAAGTATCAACCTTTAAGTCTTTGAGTAGACAAAGAGCGGCCTTCCCTTTAGCATCCTTTCTGCACAGTCCAAGACCCTCTGCAACAACCAAAGCATCTTTCAACTGGACTGAAAGTTTGGCATGCGCTGCTTCCCCATTACTTTTCCAATCAACATTCAAAAAGTAGCCCGTAGAGCTACAGAGTTCAATCAATTCCCTATAAGGAGGAAGTTCTAGACTTTCAGGAGTAACAATGGGTGAGAGTATCGGTTCAAAGATTTTCCAAACTGTGTCCAAGTCAAGTCTGGTATCAATTAGTATTGCTCCAGCAATACTTTCCACCAGGTCTCCCAGTTCCTGTCAAATAATAACAAGTAAGAAAGTTCGTGCAGTAGATTAAAAAAAAAACACTAAGGGGGCTTTAGAGCCAGGGAAATTCTATTTGAGAGTGAGAGGCAAAGGGGTACTTGAGGATATATTTGGAAAGGAGTTTATTCCGGAGATATTAAAAAAATCATAATAACCATTAAAAAATTAGGAGTCTGTTCAGACTCATTTTGTCTAAGCTGGGGTCTCGTGGAAAGAGCCTCTCTATTTCATAGTAGGGGTTTCCAGACCCAACTTTTGTAGGATTCTACTGGGTTTGATGTTGTTCTTTAAACTCATTTTGCTTATATTAAAATATAAATGTTGATTATTAATAAAGCCTTAGCCAAGTTTGATTCTTTTAGTTTTTCACAAGAAAAAATGAAACTTAAAAACCATATACTCCTTATCAGTATTTTCCATCCCCTAACATTTCCTGAGTTCCACATATTCCAAGTAATTTTATAAACCTTGGGAGCTTTCCCACCAACAAGCAACTCCGCGGTGCAGCTAGAGCTAGATATTGTCTGCTCAAATTCCAATATTTGGAACTCAAGACTCGTAGAGCAGTGCTGAAGATGAGGATGAAGGTTTCCCCTAACAGCAGCAAGAGCAAAATTTGTGTTGTTGACTGAGGCAGAACGTAAATCTGTTAGCTCCCCAGGGTCAAAATCAGTGTGGTTTTGATAGAGATACCGAGTAATAAGGATGTCTAATACCGCATCTCCAAGAAATTCAAGCCTCTGCAACAGGTTTAACAAGAGAAAACAGACAAAATTAGACACAAAAAAAGATCAAAATTATGATTTAAGAATAAATATCCCACTTTTAGTCTTCATAGAAACAGCCTCTCTACTTCCAAGTAAGGGTAAGGTCTGCGTACACACACCCTTCTCAGGCCCTACTTTGTGGGATTTTGCTGGGTTTGTTGTTGATGGTTTGCTCGCGAGTATTAGGTCATTGTCTTCCACATTAACATCATTAACAACAACAAAGTCAGCATAACCCCAACTCTCTTGGATACAACCTTACCCCCAATAAAAAACAAAGATGATGTCTCTGTTAGACCCTTGATGCATTGAGGCATTCACTGCCCAAAATTTCATAGAAAGTAAGAGGCAGGGAAATATTAATGTGCCATTTTTGTTTTAGTACATTATTTACCCAGAGCTAAAGCATTGTCATGGATGACCCTTTTAGCCCCCATTGGCAATGGGCGGTAAATGTGGGACTAAAAGTGGAATATCTTCATGATGTAGTAAATGCAAGGGTATTTATGAAATAAGCAACCTCGTAACAGCAATTGATGCCTGGTCCTTGCATAGTTCTGTGGGTTATCGCTTCTAATAACAGCCCCTTGACAGAAAATATGTAACCAAGTTTTTGCTCAAGGCTATCAATGGAAGTAGAGGTTGGAGTACAGGAGTGGAGAGATGCAGCTTCTAGGGCATCATTCACCATGGGTAGATTGTCAAGATCAATATCCACACCAATCCATTTCATCAACTTAAGGGAAGAAGACAAACCGCCGCCTACATAATATGCTCCTATCAGTGCTTCAACACAGTCAGATATGGTTTTTGATACTATCCATCGGTGGCCTTTATCGCAGCACTGTCCAAATTCAACCTGCTCATCATCTCTGGAGAAATCATCGTTCACTGGCACCTCTAAGGTGTCAACCCCGTGTTTGCATGGAGACGGCCAAATAGAAAGCTGTCCTGGAGCAGCCCAAGTGCGTGGAATGAATGGATGGCTTAGTATATATCCCTGCATATGTCAGAAAACAGAATGTTTAGATACAGTCATACAGCAAATTGATGTAAAAGAAATTAGTTGAATATTATGCACAAGCAACCTTGGAAAAGACAAGCATTTAGATGTTGATTCAATCCATCTTCTATGAAAACAGGGATTAAGCTTGCAAATTTTTTTTTAACTTTTCGAGTGGGAAATTTTTCCATAGTCATTCTCAAGAAGTCGGGAAAATGAAATTCAAGAACAGAACTAGGAACAACCTAACAATAGCAAGACCATCTAGGTTAAAGTAAAAATTTCATTACATATGAATAAAAATTCTAATGATTTGCTTGCAATTTTTATAATTGATAATAAAAACTCACTCAATTTGACTGCAAAAAAGTTAAACTGGGCAAATACTCTAGGAGCGAGTAGTACCTAGTAAATAATAATAATAATAATAATACCTGTATATTACGGCTAATGCCAAGCTTATGAAGTGTTGCATTGCAAATTCCCCATCTACGCTTATCAGTTAGTGATCCTTCATCTATATCAGGATATTTGAGGAAAAGGTGACAGCTTAGAGCATATTTCAAAACTGAATCTCCTAGAAGCTCTAAACGCTCCATGGACATACTTTCATTACACCTCTGAGTTGTGAGAGCTTCTAGAATCTAATCATAACAAAAACATGCAATCATAGCACCTATAG